TCGAAAATTATCCCACAGGAACGAAATACCTGAATAAACGGTATCAAATGTGTTATTCCAGACCAGGTATAACCTATCTCTGAGCTAAATATCATCCAGATCCCTTCAGCTGTGATTGAGTAACATACATCTATCCATCCAAACTTTCGCATTTATAATATTTAGATAATAATTGTAATTAGTTCTGCCTACCTATAAATTGTCTTCAAAAATACTTACCTGTCTTCTTACTTTGTTTTATATACACACAATATCACTAGATGTAAACACATGTTTTTATCAAGACAAGTGACCCGTCAAGACTGTTTCCTTAGTACCGACGTACTTAGGCAGGTAGGTAGGCGGTTTAGATTTTAGTTTCCACGACGCAGCGACAGTTTACCAAATTTTGTTGTATAGGTTGTGGGTATCTAGGTAATAACAGTAGGTAGACTACCTATCCACCGTGCACGCCGCGCAAGTGATTCTCGTCCCACCTGTCCGCGCAGTAACTTTTTTTTACGACCGCGCGAGACTGTCGCAACAAAAACGATTACTACCGTAAAACTAAATAGGTACCTACCTAACATTCAAATAAAAATATTCTCAAAAAGCTCAACGAATTCAGAATTTAATTTTGTTAAAAGAAAATTGGTCAAATAAAAAATAAAGGATGAAAATAAAGCATATGGGAATATAAAAATAAATCGTATTTATTTGTTACTTATTTCGAGTTTTACAAGAAAAGTATAATATTTACTGGAGACAATTATTTTATTATTATAATAGTACACGATATTCCCTTTAAAATGACACCAATATGAATAATATCTTATATCTATATCTACAAATAAATAAAATTGAAGTGTCTGTTTGTAATGTTAAAATAACAGCTTTTTATTAAATGCATATGAAAGTACTATTTTTGTCTGTCTGTCGGTCTGTCTGTCTGCCTGTTTGTTCCAGCTAATCTCCGAAACAGCTGGATCTATTTTGACGGGACTTTCACTGGCAGATAGCTGATGATATAAGGAATAACTTGAACTACTTTTCTTTTAGAAAAAGAATTAGGGTTCCGCGCAAAAAAATTAAAAACCCATGAAATCCATATTCCACGCGGGCGAGATCGCGGGGAAAAACTAGTACTCAATATAGATAAATGTATACTTATTTTTATTTATTTATTATTTTAATAAATAAATAAAAATAAGTATTAATAATTTCTAGACACATCTCAACAGATATTTCGTTTATAAATTGCTATCAATATTGAAGCATTCTTTTATATTTAGCATCCATTTAACACAAAGCTGATAGGAATACTTTTTAAACAACATAATATAATCAATAAACGATAATCGCGTATAGTGAATTTCGAGGTAAATTATTATATGTAAAATTTCAAACACAAAACACATTTTTACTCTGCTATCTTCAGCGCTGTACACGAACGGAACGATGTCGTTGAGAGCCGTGGTAGCTCACATGGTTAGCGCTCGTTATAGGTATCACAGTACGGGAGCAACCCGGGTTCGATCCCCACTGGCACCAATGAAATTGTTGCGTGTTGATTTATCTATCAGTTGGAAAGTCTGTTTTTCTGGGCCGTTTTGTTTTGTTACACTGACATCTCGCAAGTCACCTAGGGACCTAGGAGGTTGTCGGTTGCTTATTTTTAATTTTTCTTTAAAATTTTCTTTGGTAAAATAACATATTTATAAAAGTAAAAAAAAGTAAAGTTACAGCCTATATACGTCCCACTGCTGGGCACAGGCCTTCTCTAATTTCTGAGAGCGTTTTAAGGCAAGGAAATGTCCGCCACGCTGCCTCAATGCGTGTTGACGAACTTCACATTTCTTCGAAATATATATTTTTTAATTTCTCAGACATGCAGACCCGAGTTCGATCCCCGCCGGTACCAATGAAATTGTTAATTGCAATTGTGCTGATTTACCACGTGCTCGGCGGTGAAGGAAAACATATTGAGGAAACCTGCACGTCTGAGAATATAATTATAATCGAATGTAAATCAAATTGACATTGGTAAGTACAGATAAAATTAGCGGAACATTAATAAAATTTTGAGATCATTTTTTTTTTTCAAAATTTTATTTATATATTCCTCTATTTTTGTCTGTGCTTATATCAATTTGATTTAATCCAAAGTACAAGCAGGGGTCAATGTAGCGTAGTAATTTAGAGCGCAGGTATAGCTATAGTCATACGAACGTCACAGGCCGCAGCTGACTGAGTCTATATTAAAATAAAATTAGAATAAGCGCGCGTCACCGCGCATGCATGTGTGTGTAAGTGTCGTCCTCCCGCACCGCACCGGGGGGGAAACATTATTCAGTGAAGATGCACGATAATTCACATAAACACGCGCGCGTAAAAAAAATACGAAAAGGCCTTTGGAAGGAGGGGTTTTACGAAAAAACCACTGCATGAATCAATTACCAATAAAATTTATTGAATTCTTCGATAATTGAGCTGTGTCGGTACCGACTTTGTTTTGGAAATTTTACACTGCTTTTATTACTAATTTATGCCCAAAGTTGTGTTAAAATTGCCAATAAAAACGAATCTTTGGTAGCTCATAACTTTTTACTGAATTTTTATTTTACTATTCTGTTTCGGTACAGACAAAATTAATAATGAGACAAAACGATATCATGTTTAACTTTGGATGTACACTGTCAAACAGCGGAGTAAAACCCCTCCGAAATTTCTATGGAAATAATGTCGACTAGAGTCACCTTAAAATGAAATGCCAAAATTAACTCTCATATTGTCATATTGAAAACAATGCTGTCAATTAGTTATTAAATTTTCAATAAAAAGATTAAATATCTCGAATAACGTTACGTTGTCCATGTTAGTTGTAATTTTGTATCTGTTCATCCCTAATGGCAAAGTTAACTTCCGTTGGTAAAGTTGCCAGATTTAACTGTAAAATGAAAGTTTCTCCATCATGCGTATGGTATAAGATACTTTTGCCTTCCCCGTAAAGGAAAACATTAAAAAATACTTAGCGTTGTTTTAGAATTTTGCTTCTTTATATTGTGGTTCAAATAATGGTTTGAGGTCGATTTTGATACGTAATTGTGGCGGCATGTTTTTATTAAAAAAAATTTTTTATTGTGTAATAAATGTCAGCGCAAGAGAGCTTTTTCAAATATAAATAATGCATGTGAACCACTAGTGGAAACAATTGTAAGCTTCTTTCTGGTAATCCTAAATAAGTCTGTATTTATACTGCTCATTTATGATGGGTACTTGTACAATGACAACCCAAAGTTATTAAATCATTCAACCATAGTGTTACGGCCCTGAGTTACCCCGATAAAGGTCGATTGATCTAGAGCCCATCAGTAACCCAATTCCACGAGTAACTAGAGGATCGGGCCCAAAATGGCCTATGGATAATTAAATTATAACGGCTAGATGCGCAAACACAAAACTTGCCGAATTCCAGAAGTAGGGTCTACCACAAGGTGGCGTCAGGGGCAAGTAAATGGTAGTGTGTGTGTAGTGTAGGAAGGTGTGTAATGTAACCTGACGTCACCGATACAATCAGATAGCAGCACCACGTGCGTTGACCGCTCCACAAGACGCTCACCGCTATCGGAACTCAAGTCCAGCGTCACTTAGCACGAACTATAATCGCGCGCGATCTACACCCGGATCACAAAGTTCAGCGTTCCACACGAAAGCAAAATTCCTTCGTACAATTTAACTAATTTATTTTAACTTTAATTAACTACACAAGCCACTCGTCGGCGCAAATTAATAGCAATCTAAGTTAATTCAATAACTCAAAAATCAAAACGCAAAAAAGCCTCGTTGTCACGTATATTAACGACAAAATACAACAACACGGAGGCCGTCGATATGCGACGCAACAACTATTATGTAACGCCCGACGTCTAACCGGCACGGCCGTAGCCCTCGAAAGATTCTTGCCGACTGCGCTCGCTGGCAGCGCCGTATGCCCACAGCAAACACCCCCTCCCGCGCAACGCTAACCGGTTCCCCGCTCGAGACGCGCGTCTTGCACGCTTCAAATGCCACAACTTGGCGTAAACAAATAGATTCGGTCGTTCATTCGAATGCATATAACAAGTGGAGGGGATTGAAAGGAGGGAAGCTAATACGCAAAAGGAGAAAGTCATTCTGGTTCGAGGTTCAGACGAAGTAAGCCGTAAGCAATAAAGCGCAGAAGTGGTTGATATTTAATTATTGGAAGACTGAAAGTGTAAGTACGTGTGAACTTGTTTGCTATGATATTATGTATACCCTGTGATATTGTATTATTTTGTGGAAATATAAGATGTGATTGTGTGGAATATTTGTTCTTTCTTTTACGAATCCCTGTGTTTGAGCTGATGACAACACAATGTTACAGTGCTTCGATAGTGACAAAAATCTTAAGTTTTTTTCTAAAACATTTGGACTATTAGAGGTACTGTCGTCATCTATAGTTCCTAGTTATCTATAGATGACATTATTTAATCTTTAATTAGGATTTATATCGCCGATAGTCGCTAAAATTCTTTTTAAACTACTTCAAAAAGGATTAGATACTCAATTCGACTGTAATTTGTTTTTGTGTGTTACTTCTTAATTTTTTTCTACGTGAACCGATTTTGATGTTTTTTTTTTTTTCATTTGGAAGCTGTGTCATGTGGTCACAAATAAATTTGAACAAGATCTAACCGGTAGGTTTTGAGTTATTCTTAATAATGCGTATTGAATTAACTTAGCCTACATTGATGATGTTGTCATTTTATTTGCACTAAATTCGCTTGTTCTAATTTTTTAATTTTACCACTTGTTATAATTTTTTTGCGTATATTTATTTGTTATTGTGAGTGTATAGCTGCAACAAATGAGTAAGTTGTGGATTTATCAGGTCAGGGTCAACAAATTAATAGCCATGTTCAAAGACTTCTATATATACTACTTATACTGGCAATTTAGAATGAAACTGTGTCACAGGTGTGGATTAGATAGATGGTAAATATGCCTCGCTAATTACAGAGAATTGACCGTAAATCGGTGCGCAATGTATTTGGTCCACAGAACCCGTTTAGCTGTATACATAAAACTCGTTGGCCATGTTGCATAAATCTTGAGTGCATACTTTGATTTATTATTATTTATAATTAAGATTTTTGCCTTGGATGCTTGTCCTTTAAACCATGTCTTCATTTCATTCGAGATCTTCATTTTTATAGATTTTTATTTCACAATATGCTGATGCTTCACGTTGCAAAGTTTTTTGGGGGATATCGAAAAGAGCTCAGAGCGGTCAGTCGTTGACAACAGTCAATCAAGTTCACAAGCTACCTAAGCGATTAAAATAACTTGAGGTTTATATCAACATGGAAGCACTTTTTGCGTCGTTTTCTCTAATAGTTCACATGCACAGATACTTACCACACAAAATCGCATCACTTTTACGTATCAAAATCCACTTCAAACCATTATATAAACGATAAAATAGGAGCAACAATCCATCGACGGTCAGATTCCCGCCAAAACTCCTTTGATCTATTAATACCTCTTTGCTTGCAAAATAAGCTATTGTTTATGAATTATGATGATGAATATATTAGTACCTGAAGAGATTGCGACAGTCTCACAAAGTCCTGTTGCACCTTCTCGCTGTTGTCCAGCTCCTGCTGCAGCGCGTGCACACGAGCTCGCACCTCCACTACCTCTGTCTGGAGCCGTTTCTGTGGGAAGTATATATTATAATATTTTTATATAGGATAAGGTGGTAATAGGTGACAAACAAGCAGACACCTGATGGCAAGTGGTTACTGCGGCCCGTAGATATCTACACCTATCCTCGATTACGAATTAAAATGCACGTGCGTTGCCACCCGTGGGGACAAAGATGAAATGTCTCGTTGGAAACGTAAAAAAGGACACCGGTTCTCTACACTCACCATACGAAACACAGCAGCGTTAACTAGCCATTTGACGCAGGTATTCAATGAGAGCGCGGTCCCTTCCCGGTCGAGACGACCCATTCATGCTACATCTATACTACTAATATAGCTGCAACATGGCTCTATCACGTAAGAGATGAAAGCCGTTCCAAACAAGCTTGGGTCCTACGTGAACGAAGTTCAAATATGTCTTACTTTGAAGATTTAAACATTTGCTACTTATGTCAAAAAATCATATTTTTGCAGGACCCGGAGCATTATTTTTATTTTATGTTTTATTTGTAAGTTACGACGGCGGCACTGAAAATTTCGGGAATCAAGGAAGTGACCCAACATTACTATTTAAAAATGTATTTATTGCTTTTCGAAGTATTCTCCGCGAAATTTGACACATTTTTCCATACGATGGAACCAATCATTGAAGCAACCATTCCATTCGGAAGTTGGGTTCTCCAAAATGGCCGTTTTGTAGGCGTCCACAGCTTCTTCAGGTGATGAAAATCTCTGTCCACGCAATTTATTCCTTATTTTAGGGAAAGCATAGAAATCATTAGTCTAATAATTCTATGTTTTCTTGCTCTAAAAACTCTTTCGTTCTGTGTGCGGTGTGAGAACTCGCATTGTCGTGATGGAGGATGATGCGGCGGTTGCAGTTCTCTTTACGGAGTTCAGAAACGACCTGTGGCAAACAAATGCTAGCATACCATTCTGCATTAACCGTTATTTGTCCCTCAAGAGGAATAGTCGTAACATGGCCGGTTTTGGAGACAAACGTGGCCACCATTTTTTTGCAACACTCCGTGAACGAACAATTTTTGTTGGCTTTAACTCATTTTCGAACACCCAAACTCGTGACTGGTTTTTTGTTTCGGGTTCGTACGCGTATATCCAGGATTCGTCACCTGATACGCTGTTGTATACAGTATTTGAGGATACTGCGTGGAATCCTTCGAGAGTTCTGACGCACCAAGTAACGCGAGCCGCTTTTTGCTCTTCACAGAGCGAATGCGGTATCCATCGGGAAAACAACTTTTTTAATTCTAATTGTTCATGCAAGATTATTTGTATTTGACTCATGCCAATGTCTAAAGTTGCCTAAATTTCACGGTATGTCACATGTCGATCTTCCTCAATCAGCTCACGCACAGCATCAACGTTTTCTTGGGTGACTGCAGTTTTTGGACGACCTTGACGGGGATCATCACTGAGCTTGACACGTCCACGTTGAAATTCAGCAAACCAGCGATAAATCGTGGTTTTGGATGGGACTTCATCACCAATTGCAGAAATCATCCGGTCAACACACTGTTTTTGTGTTAAACCACTTCGAAAGTCATAATAAATCATCGCTCTAGAATTTTCTCGAGTCAATTCCATTTTCTCAACGACTAAACAAGTTTGACAAAACCTTGTGACAAGACCGAGGATCTTTTTTTAAATAAATTAATATCATCACCAAATGCAGAAATCATCCGGTCAACCACTGAAGTAATATGTACTTAAGTACTAGAACAGCTATCTCAAACAAAAAATGTGCGCTACTCTGTGTTCGCGCGGTTGTTTTTTTATCATAGAATAAACATAAGTAGAATGACCCGTAGGTAATAGTAGATTAGTTAGATTGTATTGTTAAATAGGTAAATTATATCGAGAACAATATTTAAATTTTGTCATTTATTTTGTATATTATATTTGCTTATTTAATATAATATTACATATTATATCACAATTACATTTTAATAATATTTTTATCTGAATTATTTATAAAATGTATTAAGTCAAATATAAAAACAGCTACTTAAATGTATGTTTATGTAGTGCAACAACTTACTGACATACTTTAATCCGAGAGAAAAGCCAAGGGTTGACCCTGTTAAATAAATCCACGAAAGAAAAATACGAAATCTATTCAGCCACAATGCCAAATGCGTACAACAAGTTGAAACTCGAAGTTTCCAAGTTAAGTCTCCTTCGGAACGAGCAATGATCAACGTCCATACAGCTTATTCAGTTTTTTTTTTCGTTAAATAAAAACCTAATAAATCGTTTTTCTAAATAGATTTCTTTTATTCTATATTAATATCTACAGATTCGCCTCAATGTCTAAATGTTATGATTTTAATAAATATTTATATAGATCAAGTTTGAAGATACCGTAGACACGTTGAGAATTAAAATATCCTTCATTATGTATTGTCATATACAAAATACAGAAACATATTGAAAAACGCTTCGTTTCTGCTATTGTAAAAGCATTCACTTTCGTTTTCAGTTTTAAAAATGTTTCTTTATTGTCCCATATACCATTTATTTATACTTATAAATTATCGTTTTATTATCTACATATTTTAGTATAACTGTTACGATGACAAGCACCCAATCTCATACATCTCCATTGCGAATTTTACATGGTTGGGCCATGTTGCAATTTATTTATTTACATTTTTGTCGCTAAAATACACTTACTTCCACATTTTATTGTTATTAAATCTTTCTTAATAATAATTCATTATATACAGCCCACCAAAAGTTCATCCAGCTGGAAATATGCCTTACCTCATATATTGTTACAGCCCATCAAGATATTTTTATTTATATATAACATTTGCCATAGTAGGTACGCTTAGCAGGCAGTTTGGCAACCGCAGATTTTATTTTAGAAGACACTATTGCTCATCTTCTGTTTCATTTTTCCTTATCGCCATTTACGACACCCATGGGATGATATTGGAAAGTGGATTCACTTACGCTACTATTACACGGCATTTTTAACTACAGTGAAACCTGCTTAAGTGGGCCCTGGATATGTAGTAACCTCTGTTAATGATAGCTACAATGACGTCCAGACACTTTTGCATTGAAATACCTCTGCTACAGGAAATTTCCAAACCTTATTAACTAAGATTAGATTTTATACATTTATTCGATGTTTTCTTCTATAATTGGGACTTCGTGGCTCTATAACCCGTATAAGTGAGACAATTTATCGGGTTTAGACAAGTTGTGACACCCTTGTTTACAATTTGTCAAATAAGTCAAAGGCGCCCCTTGCCACGCTATCCGTGGATTTCTGCAACAGCAGGGGACTTCGTTCAAATCTTAACGCCGTCCACTACCATCTGGAATCGGCGAAGCCGGCCTTGCTCTTTCTAACCGAGACACATGTGTCCTTTACATCTGATACTTCATTATCTCTCGTAACCGGGGTACAGATTAGAACACTCTTTTGTGTCCCGGGCTGGAGTTTGCGTGTACGTCAGAGAGGACATCTGTTTTTCGACGCCTCGGCAGCCTTGAACGTACGATACGGTACGGACTTGTCCATCTTATAGCTACAACCATCCCCGTGTCTACGGGTGCCTATATAGGTCCCGTAGCGGTAATGCCGACACAGACCGACTGATCGACCACGTACAGATGGCTGCAGACTCCGTGCTACAACAGGTCCCATTCGCAGAGATCGTGATACTTGGTGATTTTAATGCACACCATGCTGAATGGCTTGGTTCTCGTTTAACCGATCATGCGGGTAGATCTGTTTATGACTTTGCCTTGGCATATGGTCTGACACAGCTGGTTACCTCGTCTACGCGGATCCCAGATGTGGAAGATCATGTACCTTCCCTGTAAACGGTACATCTCGAACTTTTATACTGCGACCCTCTATAAATAAGACAGCTGTCATTTTAAACTGCCTATTTGGGAAACTGGGTAGATGAAAAGCGTCTGTGATAAAAAAGATTGAGATTTTTTTATATAGAAGAGGGGGCAAACAAACACACGGCTCACCTGATGGACAGTGACTACCGCCGCCCATGAACAACTGCAACACCAGGGGTATTGCAGGTGCGTTGCCAGCCTTTTAGAAAGGAGTAAGCTCTTTTCTTGAAGGTCCCTAAATCGTATCTGTCCGGAAAAATCACCGGTGATAAACAATTCCACAGAGAAGTTGTACATGGAAGAAAACTCCTAGTAAAACGCACAGTGGTGGACCGCCAAGCATCCAGATGGTGTTGATGATATCGTGAATGTTGACGCAATGTGCTTCATAAAATTTGACGGCTGGGATTAATCTGAACAATTCCTCAGAGCACTCTCCGTGGTAGATGCGATCCTAGATAATCAGGTTTCACTGTATATTATGAACACAATATATCATATTAATGAGTGGTAAATCAAACCACTTCTAGACATGGACCTCATAGACCTCTTATAGTAAAAAGTGTTAACATTCACCTTATCTTCAAGCAGCTTTTCTATCATATCATTAGACTGCCGTAGTTTGTCTCCAAGCTCCTTCATTTGTTCGCGTTCCGTCTGCAACCGGTCCAGCTCCTCTCTGCAATCACAAACATTTGTATAATAAGCGTGAGTGTGAAACACATTTTTACTAGATGTATGTATATGTATGTTTAATATTTCTTTGTTAAGTTTAACATAGTTATAGTTTGTTAAGTTAAAGTTAAGTTATTAATTATAATGGGGATAGTGCATGCAATTGAGGAAGTGCGGGACATGCTAAACTAAAACTAAACTAAGACACATTTTTTTTATTTTATAACGCGGATCTAAGCTGATTAATTTATATAATTTATTTAATATTTTTAATATACTGTTATTAATTAATTTTAATTTTTTACCTTCTTAAAAAAATAGGGTGTTACAGGTGAACGGAATAGATGGCCTTGATATTTTTATATTACAGTGTACCCCCGGTAATCCGACAAAAATTTTGCAAGGCTGTGTCTGACTATCGAATTCGTCGAATTATAGAGTCTGCCTAAGACCCATATAGTCCGGATTTTTTTTACAAAAGAGCACCTTGTTGTCCGACAAATTACAGACGCAGTGATAAGATTCTATATGTTATATATGTATATGTACTCTGAAGTACAAAACATACTTCATTATGTACGTCAAATTTAGTAAATTAAATAACACAATAGGGAGCTTACGTTTTATTATAAAATTAAAGTCATTAAAGCTATAGAACTTACAAAAAATATGCAATGACTTTACATTAGGAAATAATTGTGTACAAACAAATGTACATACTAAAATATTCAAAAATTATGAATCAATCAATTTAAGAAGCATCAATTTTTAAGAGCGTTATCAAGAAGCAATAACGCTTTTTGAGGAAAATTATGATCTTTCAACCAATTTCAGAATCAAATTTTTAAATCAGAATGCAGAATCAAAACAATACCCTACTTACAAGTTATAACTTGTTCAATCATGCGAAGATTGCCAATAAAATATTCAATAATAAATAGTCGGATTACAGGGGGTGCCCGATTCGACAGGGGCCGGATTACCGGGGGTCCACTGTATTATGAAATTGATATATCAATAAATACTACTACTTGGGTGAGTATTATTTTAAATTCGATAGTTTTTGATTGATTTAGTTATTTAGTCCAACATTTTTGTTTTTATTTTTTTATTACCGAAAGTTTATTTTAAATTAGTAGAATTTATTGATAGATCAATTTTATACGATAATGTAATAGAAGAGGAGTTGATCGAGCAAGTAGATGAGTTTGTATATTTGGGCTGCGTATTTATGGGATTTTTATTGGGATGGGAGATATCATAAGGATATAGAACGACGAGTGAATGCGGGAAATAGAGTAAATGGGGCTCTGCACTCTATTGTGAAGAGTCAAAATATGTCGAAAAAGGCACGTATGGCAATTCACAATGCTGTGTTGGTCCCTACTTCAACGTATGGTAGTGAAAGTTGGGTGTGGCAGAAGAAGCACGAGAGTAGAATGAACGCAGTAGAAATGCGGTCGTTAAGGAGTATGTTAGGGCTGAATCTGAATGACAGGGTAAGAAATTGTGTAATAAGAGAAGAGTGTGGTTTGCCAGATGATGTTGTGACCAGGATTAAGAAAGGAATGCTTCGGTGGTTTGGTCATGTGGAAAGAATGAATGAGGAAAGAGTGACAAAGAAAATTTATGTTGCAGAAGTGAATGGCAGAGTCGGAAAGGGACGTCCTATGCGAAAATTAATCGACCAAATTGGCGATTTGTTGAAAACGGGCCAAATTAGGAGTACCCTTAACCGACGAGCATGTATGCGTAGGTGTATGAATGTGAAAGAGGCGAGAGAGGTGTGTCAGGATCGTGCAAAATGGAAGTCTGTAGTCTCTGCCTACCCCTCTGGGCGACAGGCGTGAGTGTTTATGTTATGTGTTATGTTAAAAAAATTGTAAAATATGAGTGCCATAGCTTCTATTCCGTTCACCTATTACACCATATTTTTTTACATACGGGTTGGCAAAGGCAGTTTTTAAGCTATTGCATAGTTTTTATCGCGGGTTTTGAGCGCGGCAACGGAATCAAGAAATTCCGTAACGAAAATAAACCTGAGACCCCAAAACCTAACATCGTCTAACGTCGTTTAAGTTCGGCAGACTTCGGCACGGTGTTTGTGTGCGTGCGAGTAGACGTATGCGTGTAGACTAGTTGTATGTATTGTAAGATAATAAAAATATTTTAAACAATAATATAGTTTATTACAAGAAGCATTTAACGAAAACACTGAACCCGCCTAAAAATGACTGGATCAACAGTGATATAATCACTGGGATTACCCAAAGGAACTACCTATGGTTGCAACACAAAAAAAATCAGGATGACAAGAGACTAGAACAAGAATACAAGCAAAAAAGAGACACAATAGCTAAACTGATACAAAATACGAAAAATTCCTACTACTATAAACTATTTACAAAATATACAAATAATCCTAAAAAGATGTGGGCTCTTATAAATAACCTAGCAAATAACAAAACAAAACAAAGTAGTGCTCCTCCAAAGCTCTTAATAGACTCTGAACTAATTAGCGACACAGATGAAGTTTGTGATATTTTTAACAAATATTTTTCTACTATAGGTTCTCTATTAGCAAACAAAATACCTAACAAATATCACGATAGTACTTTGAATCCTGATTTCATACAACAAAAAATAAACGATCATAAACTGTCTGCCTTTACCCCATGTAATGCAAATGAAATAAATAAAATTATTCACAACCTAAATCCCAATACTAGTAGTGGAATAGACAAAATCAGCACAAAAGTCCTAAAATGTTTGCAAGATCTAATCTCTGAAGGCCTGGCACATTCAATAAACAAACTTATGACTGACGGCGAATTTCCCGATACTTTGAAGGTTGCAAAAGTAACACCAATTTACAAATCCGGGCCCACAACTGACCCAGGAAACTATCGTCCTATTTCTGTACTACCAATATTGTCGAAAATCCTAGAAAAAGTAATACATAACCGATTATCAAGTTACCTGGATTCATTTAACTTTATATCTCCACGTCAGTACGGTTTTCGGTCAAAAAGCAATACAACTGCGGCAATAGTAGATTTAACAACAAAAATTAAAGAAAACCTGGATAAGAAAAGGATTGTTCTAGGCATTTACATCGACCTGAAAAAAGCCTTTTATACCGTAAGTCACCAGTTACTTTTAAAAAAGTTAGAGCACATTGGTATCACAGGTAGTGCCCTTAAAATGTTTGAGTCGTACCTAACAAATAGAGTACAGATAGTCAAAATAGATAATAACCAAAGCAATACCCAACCCATTACATATGGTGTCCCACAAGGGTCCATATTGGGACCGCTTCTTTTCCTTATCTATGTTAACAATATAACGGATTTAAGACTACACGGCCATTTAACTTTGTACGCAGACGATACATGCCTATTCTATTTCGGTACAAATATGGACGAAATCGTCTCAAAAGCTCAAGAAGACCTTAACATGTTGTTTGAATGGTTTCAGTCCAACCTGTTAACAATCAACATCTTAAAAACATGCTATATTATCTACAAGTCGAAAAATAAAATAATTCCCCCGCATGCTCCTTTAACAATTGACAACATTCCACTCGAACAAAAAACTTGTGAAAAATATCTTGGTCTGAGAATGGATAGTAATTTAACATGGAACAAACAGATAGAATATATAAAAAGCAAATTATCGTCGCTAACGGGTTCACTCTGTAACATAAATCAATGTATACCTAGGAAACTACGTTTCAATATTTACAATTCACTTATCAAATCTCATATATTATATTTAATAGAAATATGGGGCAGTGCCGCCAAAACGAAATTGCAGGAACTACAAAGAGCTCAAAATAAAGCAATAAAAATACTTTTCTCCTACCCATACTTAACATCGACTCGTAAAATTTTTGATGACACAAAAATAATGAACATTCGACAACTTTATATATATAGCACTTGCATTCTAATTAGGAAGATCATGAGTAAAAACATCCAAACTAGTTTGTCCTTTACCAAAAAGTCACAAATATCCAAACGCAGTCTTCGTCGACCTAGCTTGCTCGTATTGCCAAAGACACGTACCAAATTAGGGAAAAAAAATATTACCTTTGAGGGAGCACACTTTTATAACAGCCTACCTTCTCATATTAAAAATATAGATTCCTTTAACAAGTTCAAGTCTCAATTGCACAACTACATTCTTGAAAGCTACTGACTTGTAATTTCGGAGAGTGTCACGATGGAACTGTGAATACGGTGACCGTTACCTAGATTAAGTTTATATTATTGTTCTCATGTAAGTGGATTATGTAATCTTTTTGTGAGAATAAATTCTTTAAACCTAAGCATATTCTCTGGATTTATATGAGTCGTCGTCATGCTAGCAACTTTCGTAAATTTAGAGTATTTAATAAACACAGTGTTTATACTTAAATATATTTTTTGAATTTATACATTATTTTTGATGGCACGTTTGGCGCAGTGGCTGAACCACCCGAATGCAGCGCCGCGGATCATGGGTTCGTTTCACGCATGGAGCAAACATTTTTGCTAACAAAGAAAAAAATACTGCATAAATAAAATAAATAAATAATTATAATTGCATAAGTCGATAAAAATGCTGTACAATAGCTTTACCGCGGCAATCCCCGAGTGCCACACGTATTTTTAATTATTTTCAGTTATCAGGAAGATCTCATCTACTGTTTTAGTTTCCCTCAGTTGCCTCTTATGATACACACGGGACAATATGGGCTAGTGGATATTCTTACACTCCCACTACGTGGTGACCTTAATATTATGGATTTTCGCAAAGTAACGACTGATTCTATTAACACGTTTTACATGGTAGAACCATGCTGCAGATATATTATAGTTGTAGCACAAATGGATTAACTCGACTGAGGAAGGACCACTTCAATATTGTTTTTTTTTTAATAGCATATGGTGAAAAACATAGAATACTATAATACACAATAGAATAGCTGTCAACCTTATTTTGTACGAGGGTCGGCGTCGCCGGGAGCACACATACAAGCAATAACGTCGTATTGCTTGTATGTGTGCTCCCGCGCGACGGATGACGTGAATTGACGTGTTGGTGACATTTTAGTGGCTACACGGGCTCTGCCCACTCCCCTGTTCTATTATGTATGTATTATAGTAAGTATTCTATGGTGAAAAACGAGCACACAGTACACCTGATAGTAAGTGGATGCTGTGGCCCATAGACATCTACATTTATCCTCGATTACGATTCAAAATGCAGATACGTTGTCTCCTGTAAGGACTAAGATGGAATGTCTCGTTTCCAGTAAAAAGGGTCTCCGGTTGTCTTTACTCACCATACGAAAAACAGCAGCATTAAGCTACTATTTTACGCTGGTATTGTGATGTTTCGTGTGGTGAATGTAGAAAACCGGAGACCCATTTTACTGGCATTTCATCTTAGTCTTCGGTGGTGACAATGTAATCTATATATTGATTCTTAATTAAGGTTAGATATAAAGGTCTATGGGCCACAGCATCGACTTATTATCAACTGTGTGCTCGTTTATAACCCTTATTCTACAAAAAGAAATATTTTTTAAAATCTTTAATACAATGGATTTCCACAAAGTAACGCCTGATTGTATGAACGCTCACTTTGCTTCGCGCAGCTGCGCTCGCGCGGCGGCCAGCTCGGCCTCCTGCCGGTGGAACTGCGTGCCGTGCTCCAGCAGCTGTGTGCGCAGCTCTTGCTCGGCCGCGTCTGCTTCTTCTTGACCCAGTTGACACATGATTAGTTGCTCGCGGAGACGTAGATTGTATGAACGCTTACTTTGCTTCGCGCAGCTGCGCCCGCGCGGCGGCCAGCTCGGCCTCCTGCCGGTGGAACAGCGTGCCGTGCTCCAGCAGCTATGTGCGCAGCTCTTGCTCGGCCGTGTCTGCTTCTTCTCGACCTAGTTGGCACATGATTAGTTGCTCGCGGAGACGTAGATTGTATGAACGCTTACTTTGCTTCGCGGAGCTGCGCCCGCGCGGCGGCCAGCTCGGCCTCCTGCCGGTGGAACAGCGTGCCGTGCTCCAGCAGTTGTGTGCGCAGCTCTTGCTCGGCCGCGTCTGCTTCTTCTCGACCCAGTTGGCACATGATTAGTTGCTCGCGGAGACGTAGATTGTATGAACGCTTACTTTGCTTCGCGCAGCTGCGCCCGCGCGGCGGCCAGCTCGGCCTCCTGCCGGTGGAACAGCGTGCCGTGCTCCAGCAATTGTGTGCCCAGCTCTTGCTCGGCCGCGTCTGCTTCTTCTCGACCCAGTTGGTACATAATTAGTTGCTCGCGGAGACGTAGATTGTATGAACGCTTACTTTGCTTCGCGGAGCTGCGCCCGCGCGGCGGCCAGCTCGGCCTCCTGCCGGTGGAACAGCGTGCCATGCTCCAGCAGCTGTGTGCGCAGCTCTTGCTCGGCCGCGTCTGCTTCTTCTCGACCCAGTTGGCACATGATTAGTTGCTCGCGGAGACGTAGATTCTGTTCTTGCAATTCCTGTAAAATTATATTTTGAGTTATTTACAATTATATGTTTAGTCTGAAAAGTATAGAGGCCCAGTATAATTGTACGCTTTGAAGCATTCATAGTCCACAGAGGTAACAATGCGACTGTAGCGATAGGTTAACATTCCATCTTAGTACTCAGGGGTGGTAAAGTATCTGTAGTCAGTTTTCTTTGTTTGAAGTTAGCTGCAGGTGTCCATGTACTGTTGTGGCCGCTTACCATCGTACGTAGACTGTAAGTTTGTGTGACACTTCAATTTTGTAAAAGAAAATGCTTATCTTTATGTATATAAAATTCCAGCATGCCTTTTTAAATTTTCCTGCTCCTAAACAACTTGACCGGTTTAGATTACTTTTTTATAGAATAGGGTGACAAACGAGCATATAGATCACATGATGATAAGTGGATGCTGTGGCCCGTAGACATATACTTTTATCCTTATTAAGAATCAAAATGCAGATGCGTTTTCACCCGTGTGAATTAAAATGGAATGTCTCGTTTGTTCTCTACACTCACCATACGAAACACAGCAGCATTAAGCTGCTATTTTATGCTGGTATTCTGTGAGAGTGTAGATTATTTTTATGGGGTACTTATGGGGTCACCTGGATGATTCTTAGTACTAGATAACAGCGCCACCTACGTTCGGTAGGTGGCGCTGTTATCGAGAACTAGAAATAACCTTGGTGTAGCGATCGTTAATTTAACATTAATGCTAAAAAAATTAGTACATAAAAACTATAGCCTATATAAGCCTCTTATTGATCGGATTTAAACATTTGTCTCTGAAATTGTTACCTGCCTAATGCATCAAAGCTGACAAATATTTCAGTGAGTCTTACATAAAAAGGTCACGTGACAAAAGGCTTTCGTAAAGTACATTTCTTATGCCAAAAAAATCTAAAAAATTAAGATTTAATAGTATCATAACAATCGGCCTTACAAAATGTGGTTTATTGATAGTATCGCTTTTAAAGAAGTATTTATTACGAAAGCGGTCCCTTAGCCGCGGCCCCAATATTTGACTTTCGCCACCAAATTCCATACTTTACATTTTAGTTTGCATATTTTCGACGGGACATTTTCAGTATAAACTAATTCAAATAGAGAAATTGCATGTTTTTAAATTTTTTTAAACGTATCTAAAATTACTAAGAAAAATTAACAATTAATTTTTCATGTCATTTTACAATTAAAAATGGTTACGTATGGGTAATGTTGATGAATAAATCTTAAAATGTAAATTCAAACGTCAGTGACGTCATTATATCCCTTTATTGTCATTGCATTATACAGGTTATATATATATATATATATATATATATATATATATATATTGGGTGTGTGTGTGTGTTTTATTATGACACATGTTGATCGGTATATAAAAATACAAAGGTATAGCATGTTTGCGATTGGCTCACAGCCTAAATGGATATAATGACGTCACAACCAATCACAATTCGTTTTTCTTCATTCAAAATTTTACTACTTTTTATTAATAATTACTAAAAAAATAGAATTATTAATAAAAAAATATTTAAATATACTTTAAATGAATTATTTTTTTCATTTATATAATGAAACAGCATTATCCCGATATTACAAAATAATAAAAAAAAAACTGTGGTTAACAACCCACCCGGCAAGCAAGGCATCTATGGAAAATATCCCCCCTAAGCCCTAAGAGGCAATTTATAAGGTAAGTTTATGTTCAGCAGTTGACAGAGGAGACAGAAGGCTCTGATGGAAGTGAGGGAGCTGTGGCCCATAGAGATCCACATCTATACTTAATTAAGAACCACAAACACCACATAAAAAACATCATTATACGATGTTCAGTATTGTAATTGTCATGAACTGTAATGATGATGATCAATAAATCTTAAAATGACAACTAACCTCAACATTGTCCGGTAGATTTATTATTTCGTTCTGCATCTCTGCAGCTTTCTTCGTATACTGCCCGACTAACATGGCGTTATCTCGTTCTAATCTATAAAGAAATTATTGAAGATTACAAAATTATTAAAAAAAAACTCGTTATAATACTAAATAAACATACCCTTTTTGTGGTTTTGGTTTAGAGATAAAATCGAATTTTACCTTAATTTTCAAACACATCAACAGAATCTAGGGATACCTTAATCCTAAATTATTTACGACTTTATAGTTTAAAATCTTTTTAGTTTCCATAAAAAGTTTATATACAGATTGAAACCTCTTTTATTCTATTTTCAAAATTTAAAAATTTAAATAAAAAAACGGAAGAAAAATCATAATACGGCGGCAAAATTGTTAGTAATTCGTTACGTCAAGGAAAATTAAAATTGTTCTACCGATATTATTTAATGAAAAGGGATTACATTGTTTGTCTTTTTTTAATTGAGCATGCCGCGTGAGCTTTATGTGTCATGTTACGCGTCATTTGAGCCGTGATGAAATGTTACGAGCCGTAGGCATGTTAGAAAGTGATGCTATTCAATGCGCAGTTTCTGAGGCCCTATACACATGCCATAACGTGATATCAAAGTTGTGGTCACGTTATCGTGATACGTACCTGAAGCACGCCCATTTGTACCATCGACTCGGAAGAACTCTTACTATTATAGTCAACCAAATCTAAGAAATACCTTTTGACGTTTCACATTAATCATTCCGCAATAACTTTTCACCAGCGTACTTACACGATTTAAAATAACCTTTTACGTAAATCCAAAGAATTATGAAGTTATCTATATTTCATTACATCGTTTATAGTTTTTATAACTAATTTAAATTTGATTTTTTTTTTCAAACAAAAAAAGATATTAAAAATAACCAGTATTATCTTTTTTACTTGACGTCGTTTCAATGATATGCCGCTATGTATATTACCGTAGTGTTTGGATGATATATCAAATAATCGGTTAAATCGGCAAAATATTCAAATAATCGGTAAAAATTTCCAAATAATCCAATCATTAATTTTTTAATGTATGTTATGTGTATGTTTAATTTAATTTTTATTTCCAAAATTCCTTAAATTACATGAATCATGAATAAAACAAGTTTATTTTTTTACTTTTTCAAAGTAAATTTGTGTAGGCAAAAAACTCATATACACGGCCGTGCTAAAATAACCACTACATAATTTCAATATCCCGCCATTTCGGTACCAGTTACTCGACTCTACAGAGTCAGTAATTCATTCTTGGGGCGATATATAGGTACGCTTTTACAACGAAATCCCAGAAAATATACAAAATTTGACGTAAGTACACAAAGTTCAAAAACTTTATTAAACTAAGTTTGTGTAAAAAGGGTTATTTTAATATTAAGGAATTTATGGATGTAATAACCCCTGGGAAAGGTGATCGCTACCAAACTATTTCTAATTTGTTTTGTGTCGTTAAATATAACATGATTACAAGCTCTTATTTAAAAAAAAAAACTAGTCCCGTTGGGTTTCTTGCTGGTTCTTCCCAGGACAGAGTTTTTTTTTTACGAACCGGTGGTAAATGAAAAAAGTGACATTTAATAAGTATTATCCATAATCTATATTGAATAAAAAAGTTTCTGTTTCTGTTTCGAGAGCTGTAATGCGTAATTTTGTGACTCGGCTTTAACTTTTTGGACTGTTTCTTCTATAATAACTTTTTGTACGTGGTAGCCACGCTACATCCATATTATAGTTGTAGCACGAATGGGTCGGCTCAACCGGGACAGGACTACGCTCTCACAGAATACCAGCGTAAAATAGCAGCGTAATGCTGCTGTGTTTCGTATGGTGAGTGTAGAGAACCGAAGACCCTTTTTACTGGAATCGAGGCATTCCATCTTAGTCCTCAGGAGTGACAACGCATTTGCATTTTAATTATTATTTGAGGATACATATATATGTCTATGAGCCATAGCATCCACTTACCATCAGGTGGACTGTGTGCTCGTTTGTCACCCAATGCTATAAAAAAATATATTCGTTGAAGCATGTTTATGGATTGATGGCAAAAAATTGATTATGGATGACTTTGAAAGGGACATTAATTTTGACTGTGTTATTGAAAATCAAATAATAATTAATATAAACAACGACATCTCTACTAGTTGTACTGAAAGTGAATGAATAAATTTATTTTTAATCTAGTTTCAATCTTAAATTTTTATAACTGTGACTATAGAAATAAGCAGTAACAACAAATACGAAGAAAGTGATAAATCTTGTGTTTTAAATTATCCGTTTTTAATTTATTCTGGTATTATTCAAACCAAGCTGTAAATGATTACCAACTCTAAATAATCGATATCGACTTTTTTTAAGAATCGTATATTGTACGTTCCCATATTTTGCAATAAGTCTGACAGCTGTCAAAATGTATTTCTTAGATTTGGTTGATATAATGACAACTTTTTGCGTTCTGTTACTTAAATATGAAATAATTAATTTAAGAGCATCACTTCTTACACCATAGTGTTGAAGTTTCTTTATTAATGTTTCATGGTGAACACAATCGAAGTTTTGGACAGGTCACAGAATATACCCAAAGCATCCTGTGAATTCTCTCACGCATTGGAGATGTATTTAATCAGCTCAACAACAGCATCCTTTGTCGAGCGACCCCTTATGAAATGGAATTGATTTTTATGTAGTAAATTATTCACTTTTTTTTTCAAGATCAATTTGATAAAGAATAATTTTTAAAAATGTTTTTAAAAATGATAAGTGTTGGCAGTACAGAAATAGGTCAAAAATTGGCGGGGTAATGTACTACCAGATTTAAAAAAGGTGTTACTTTACTAAGCATTATTAAATCAGGGAACACGTCAGATACGATACTACAATCAAAAATAACTTTTGTTAAATCAAAATGTGCATGCCTTAAGCACTCATTATATGTCAAATTTTAAAAGTATTTTAAATAAACACAAGCTTTCACAAACCTTGCGCCTCTTGGCACGTGCCTAGTTTGAGGATAATCCACCACTGTCCAGAGGTAGGGTCTCAACATAACTAAAAAAACGAGCCCAAACTAAGCACATCTATTATTATTACTACTCTTCGATCATTCCAGTTGCATTCACCGAAGTATACCTTCTGGTCGCTCTACAAGTCCGGGGGTAAGGTCTCATCATAACTAACATAACGAGCGCAACCACGGCACACACAATCTCTAGTTCTCTCGTATGGGAACTGTCTGTTACAGCAGATACCGAAGTAAAGCTTCATGTCGCTCCATAAAGTCCAAGATGTATAATATTTATATATAAATCCTACGTACTTTTAGTGAAACGATGTATTGTAATGAAAATCTGTGATTATAAAAATAATAATAATATCTGACCTTGGTCTAAATTTTGTTTTTGGAATATTTTGTATTTCTACAGCGATCTATATATTTTTCATCACGAGCTGCTGTAAACAAACGATACTGTTATCCACTCACGACGGTGGTCAAGCCCGGACTGAGTCAAAGTGTATTTAGTATATTATATATATTATAAAAAGCCTGCTCAAACACCGAAAATTTCGGAAATTCTCAGAATTATAACTAAACAAAACAAAAATGTAAATATTCCATGGCTTCCCACATAACAGATAAAGAGATTAAAAAATAGGTTGAGTTGAACAATTGATATTTTCAAAATTATCGTGTTTACCCCTCCATGCGGACTAGATAAATCTACACCATAAGTCACTAAAACTATTTTTTTAATGTAAAAACAGCAATTAGTCAATTTAAAAAAAATAAGTTAAAAAATCACTCATCTTTCTGACAATGTGCTTTTTATATCATTTATATGTTCAATATGATTGTTAGATAATACTTCATGCGACAAAACGTTGGATTCTTGATTTTATGTGCTAGTAGAACATACCTACGCGCTTTACTACTTTTGATGATACTTTATGAAATGTAAATTTCTTTATACACGCATTTACATTTTGTTAAATAATGATCCAGCGACGGCAGAAGAATTCAGTGACTTAGTGGTTAAGATCGGAATATCAGTAAAATATTTTTAAAAGTCGTTGCAATATCCTGATCTGATTTAGTTAATTTTTTGTTACATCTTAACTTGTAGTTTAAATTGCGAGAAATGTCCTTACCAGTTTTAATATTAATTATACTCTATATCATTTTAATTAGAAGCCGTCTTTATTTTATTGTTCATATACAAAGATTTGGCTATGGAGCACACCCCTTTAAATATTTTTGAATACTTTTTACATATTCCCTAAATTCGATGCTAGGATACGAGTATAATCTTCCATAGTAAACACATTTTAGATCATTGCAAAACAATATTTATAACTAACTGTGTAATAAAAAAAAATATTTAAAAAGCAAAATTAAATAATTTAGCGAAACCCTAGTAACTTTCCATGGATTTCTTAGGTTCCGAAGAAGCAACTATAGTAATTGTTGCTGAAGCAACTATAGTAATTGAGCGTGTGTGCATATATCAGTAAGGCGAGACGTAGTGTAGAGCCTGCATGTACTTATGTGTAAGTGTAGGGTGTGTATGTGCATAGACTAACTTGTCCAAGTTCCGCTGCAGTGTCTCGCGGTCCACCGTGAGCGTGGTGACGTGGTGCAGCGCGTGCGCGTGTGCGCTGGCCGCAGCTTCCTGGCGCTGCTGCAGTAGCTGCTGCGCGGCTCGCAGCTCGGCCGTCAGCGCGCCCAACTCGCGCGCCGCCGCCTCGCGCCACGCCGCCGCGCTGCCCACCGCCTCCTCCTGCAGCGCGCGCACGCCCTCCAGCTCCGCGCTCGCCTGCACACACACGTACCACGCACCCAGTGAATACACACATGTACACACTGAATACACAATTAACGCTCTTCAGCTCCGCACTGGCCTGCACGCACACACACGTACACGCACCTAGTGAACATACAGCTAGCGCTTGCCCGCATACGCACACACGCGCACGCAGTGAATACACGGCTAACGCTCTTAGCTCTGCACTGGCCTTCACGCACACACACGAAGTGAGTATGTAACTAGGCATCGCTTGCACACGCACATACAGACAGTTAGTAGATATTCATCCATATCATCCACCCTACTTTACGAACGGCAACAAAATAATAAATTTAGTAGGCATCTTTAACCTTGTCACTTCGCAGGGTCACAGGCTAAAGTGGATATGATTTGAATTTCGATAGATTTTAATTAATTAATTTATTTAATTCAAAATGTTTGTTTTTATTTTTTATAATCACATGTTACACCATTTTTTTCCAGACGGTAAAAAAGATCATCATGGGTAAAAAAATGAACATAAAAAAAATTGCTACAAACAGCTGTGTTACACCTCGTTTTAATCGTCAATAAATAAGCAAATTTTTTTAATACACTGTCATATTTGGTAGTACAATTTTTTTTATAGTAAGGTTTAAGGTTTTTTACAGGTACATTTTAGGTTACACTTTAGAAGTTACAAATAATTTTTCGTAAGACTTAAAAGATATTGAAAAAAGTTCCAATGCTCATAAATCATGGTACCCACTGTCATAAAAGTGCTTTAGTAGTGGTGATACATTTCCTAGAAACAAGTAAATACCATTTATTGTTTTAAAATAAGTACCCATATTAGTCTAAATTGCCTATTTATTACAAATTTTGGTATTTTCTTCATAAAACACGCAAAAAGTCATAACTTTTATTTTACCGCAAATAACACCAACTTATTGCCTTGTTTCCTGTTATCCACGATTTTTTACCCATACTGTGTAGCGAGGGTTGAAATGGCAGCCTCTGGCTGCCTCGTTAGTCTAGTGGTCATAAATGCGAAATCCCCAGATCATACCTAAAATAATTTATAGAGTTTTCTCTCAAGAAATTCTCAGTAGCAACCCGGAGGCAGGAAGTTGGCGATGCTTCACCCTACGTCCCCATACTTCGTAATGAGAGTGAAGGAATAGAGAGTACACTCGTGCTTGCGCATATACTTGGGCACTATAATTCCACTCTGCGCAGATAGCTAGTCTACGTTGAGGCTAGCCGCCGTGACCGAAATTCAATCTGGAGGACATTATTATTTTAGCTAAAGCAATACCTTACTAGCCCCTTTTTTGAGATTACCTACGCTTCATTGAAACTATACGGTTATGACTCTTCGTTTTTGCAAAGTTGACAATTTTCATATTTTTATTATAACGTTGATTTGGGTCATTGGATATAGTTTATTTGTCAATAATATTTCTTCAAGGCTCATTTTATTCATATTTTCAAATCAAAGTTATATTTCCATGTTTTAAAATTACACGTAAGAATATTTAGTATCCTGGCACTTCTTTGTTGCTGATGTCACGTTCGTTCTGCTCAATTGTAATGTAGGAAAGATGTCAATGAAGAGAAAAAGTGTTACTCTTGTTATGACTAATAATACTGCACTTTAAGCTTATTCTTTTTTCTTTTCTTTTTTTTAAACGTTACCACTACACTAGGATTTTCCCCTGTATCGTGGGGGCAGTTTACAAACATAAATTTCACAAGGACAAACATCCAGACCCGGAACAATTATTTGTAGGCCATACAAATACTTGTTCCGTGCGGGATTCGAACCCGCGCCACGGATATTACCTATTATTCTATCTTAACACTAATATATACTGATAATTGATAGAATCGGGCGTTACTTTGCGGAAATCCATTATAATAAAAACTAGTTACTTCGCTACTTGTATTTAGTTAGCGGAAGGTTGCGAAGTAACTAGTATTTTTATTTAATATATACTGACATGGGGGCCACAGTACACAGTGCCAAAAATCAAATCTCGCTTTTGGTCTCAAACACAAATTAGTGTATCAGTTATTTCTACATCACATCCATATTACAATACTTATTACTTACCAATTTTAAAGCCTGTTCTAATTGTTTCGCTTTCTCCCGCGCTGCATCTGCCCTACCTTGCTCGCTCACCAGCTGCCTTTCATAATTCGCGCACATATCGCACTGTTTCGTTGTCTCTAAACAAACATATTCTTTACTGTCTCTAAACTTATAAAGATCAAGGACTTGAAAAAAAATATTTAAAAAGGATTAAGCCAAGTTGCAGCCATATTATAGTTGTAGCACCAGTGGCGTAGCAAAGGGGGGGTGGGCTGGGGGGGCGCTGGGGGCGGGCCGCACCAGGTGTCACCTTTTTTGGGGTGACACTTACCCGGTCTCTCAACTTTAAGAATTTTTCGGGGATTCCTCCACTAGCACTACCTCAGCTCTATGTATAATTCGGGGATTCCCGCAAAAGAACCTGACGCTGTCATGGGAGATTCCCCGTCCCATACTCGCGATCTTTGACGTCTCAGTTGCAACATTTCTCATTTGTTTCGTGAATGAAGTATTATTCTATAGTGATAGATAAAAAAAGTCAAAGCTAGAAAGAAAAAATTTTAATTGTATAGGTAACAATTCCCTTTCTGTTTTAGTTATTATTGCGTTTTGTTATTTCTTCAATATTATAAATAATAAATGATCCATGTCCTTTATCATACAAAATTTATTGCTTTTTACTTTCGATGGGGCGACACCACCAACTTCTGCCGCAGGTGCCACCCAAGGTAGCTACGCCACTGTGTATCACGTATGGGTCGGTTCGACCGGGGAAGCACGCTCTCACAAGATACCAGCGGGGAATTAGCAGCTTCATTTGTGTATCGTATAGCGTGCCGTGGTAGCTCAAGGGCTAAGCGCTCGCTGTAAATTTCACAGTACACGAGAAACCCGGGTTCGATCCCCACTGGCACTAATGAAATTGTTAATGCAATTTTATGTGCTGATTTACCACGTGTTTGGGGGTGTAAATAAGAAAAAAATTATTTCTAAAACATGTAAAGTTCGCCAACACGCAATGGGGCAGCGCGGCGGGCTATTCCTTTGCCCTAAAGACCTCCCAGAGATGCGAGGTCTGTGCCCAACAGTGAGATCTATATAGGTGGGTGTAGAGACCGGAGACCCTTTTTATTGATATCTTGACATTCTTTCTTAAAACTAAAGAGTGACAACGCATTTGAATTTTAATTCTTAATCGATTAATGATATAGGTGTCTAGGGGTCGCGTCATCCATTGACTATCAGATGGACTATGTGTTTATTTGAATATATTCTATAAAAACTGATTAATCGCGAATAAGTATTGATTCAAACTTGCCCGTTGTTGTTGTTACTTACCATGCTCTTGTTTTGTATCGCCGCTTGATCCAGTTACTGTCGCGCTTGTTGTATTCGTTGCCTTCGCTTTCTAAAAAGAAAAGTAGAATATATGAGCGGCTTTGAAACACCATCCTATTTAAGATTGAACTGTCTGGTCATGGTAACCTTTTACTACCTGACGCCTATCTTCATACTAAGCTTATTTTAGTGATTAACATAATAATTCCACGTTTTGGTAGGTGAACAAAAGATGAATTGTATGAGGTGGTTTAAGGATGACGGTTGTAGTGTGTTATATTTATCATGTAATGTATATTATCTGGCTCTAAGGACCAATATATAAATGTATTGTGATACATTTGTTGGTGATAATATTTGATAAGAATAATAACTCGGTGATAAAGATGATAGATTGATGGATTTTAGAGGTGATAATCGGAAGACATAACCGTTCCTGCTGTGTGCGAATGATCATTATTCTTGTTCTATTATAAAGAAGCTTAGTTTATGCCATAAAAAGGTATTTTGTGTCTCCCTACACGCGCCCCGCAATGTCGTACAGATTTTGTTCACGCTGTCTGTTTTAGCAAGGAAACCATGTGGGTCAAAAGGAAGTATACAAGAAAAGGTTTTATTTTTCTTAATAACCAATACGAAATTCTGGGTGATTATTGAAAAATCTTTAAAATCCGTATATCTCAAGATCTCTTCATTTTAAACCATACATATGGGGCGTCAAATTTGTAGCATTTTGACTCCCCTATCACGCCCTGCCAGGAAGTTGTCGAGTTTCTAGTAACCCTGTATTTTATGACAGTATTTCATAAAATTCTTACCAAAGCCTCTTGAAGCTGTGCATCTGTCTCTCGCAACTTGTTCTTCAGCGCTGTTATCTCCATCTCGAGCGGCTGGATGATAGAGTGCAGCAACTCATTATCTTCAACATTCTGCAATCCACAAATAAAGAAATGAAGTATAATGATAATGATGTAATGTTCGAAATTTTTTTCATATCATTTTATAGATTTATAATGCGCACGCCATGGAGGCTCTCAAGGGGCACGAACTTCTGCTTAACCAACAAAAACAGAACATTAACTAATTTTCACAAAGTATTTATAAAACAATAACCTCCCTCTTGACTCAGTCTACTGATGAAAACCGAATGAAAATCCCCAAAAGTTTCTGATAGTAGCACAGTCATACTAAAGTACATACGCTCGCCAGAAACTTCCTTATATACTTTGTCAATAAACATAGCAAATCAAAATTGTAATTAATAGTGTTTAAACAATGTTAAAAGCAAAGACTTGTATGTTTACTACTAGACGAGTAGGTGGCACAGTAAATATCCTACGCAGTTGTATTTTATTTTACGACATTTACTGTTTTAGGAAAATACAAAATAAAATTTTATACTTATCTAAAATAAATTTCAAATCGCGTTGACAAAGTGCGCACATAAATAATGACAGCCTTTCTTAGTCACATTAAACATAATCAGTGTTAGATTGTCGAAAACAACTAGTGTTCTTGGCCGCACGCAGTCGACTAAAAAAGTTACGGATAATTGACCATAGCTCAGTGCGCTATGTATTAGTACCGTAGTGCCCGTCTAGTAGTATGCATAAAGTGATTGGTTAGAAGTTAGAAATGATAAATACTTTTTAGATACCTTCTTAGTGGGCTGTTCCTGATCTGTGTCGGCTCCCAGCTTCCGCGCCAGGGAGCGCACGAACGTGGCCGGCGCCAGCGACATCTCCTGCCACACGCGACAAACTGTCTCACGTCTCGTTTCCATACCCAATGTTATACAAGAAACTTATTACCGGATATAGCCCTACTGCACCTTTAATATGGTTGTAGCACGAATGCCTCGGCTCGACCGTGGAAGGACGATTGTTAAAATCAGCAGTTTTAGTGGGAAAAATGGGGTGGCAACGCATCTGCATTTTGATTCTTAATCGAGGATAGATTTAGATGTCTATTCACACTTAACAAAAAAGACGTTCTTTCGTATTATTTCCCATTTTATGAAAATTTATTTATATATCCTCGGTTACAATTAACACTTTTGTAAATTTTTTATTATCAAAGTTTTTATTCTACAATAATGTGTCAGCGTTATCGTACTAAACCTTGTTCCTGTTACACATATAATCATGGATATTTAGAAAGAGGGAACCAATTTGACAGGAATATAGAAATTAATGAATTTATCACCTCTGAGTGTAACAACTTTTGAATTTTAATATACGAATTCCACCACCTAACAAAATATCAATTATGATTTATTGCTGTTAGTTTTATTTAAACACCACACTAAAATATTACAGTAACACCCCTACAAAAATAATAATAATAAAAGATCTAGTAAAATCAGTAAATGTACATGATAATAGATAGTTTAAACACCGATGAGGAAATCAGCTAAAAATATAACTAATTTTCGTCGAAGTTTACACATAAATAATATATGTAGATACCAAAGTATTATTTAAGAACTTATAGTTCTTTTAATTATTTAATATAAGTCATAGTTCTTTAAATATCTACTACTACAAAAATCTTAGGTCACCAAAGTTTTTGTTCTGAATTTTTGACACAACGTTACATTCGAATACGCGCGTTTTTTATTCTTTTGAATAACTGTTGGAGTCATAGCTCAAAGCAACACGTGGCCGGGTATAGCTAGATATAAATAAAATTATATGTAGTTAGTAGTAAGTATAATCAAAATACTCTAATATTATTTACTTTATTAGTTCATGAAACCATAACTAAATCAGTTTATACCCTGCCTAGGAAACATAATCTCATTTTAATAATACGATAATAAGCCGCAAATAGGATAAGTTAGCTTTGAGATAAACCTATTTCCAGCATTGTTGTAGGCTGATGATTATAATGCAGGAATTTATAATTTAAACATTTTTAAGAATAAAAATTAAAAATTCGCGAGGAAAGTACACTCACAATGAAATGGGCTAATAATTTGCCGCTCACCAGTGGTCGCCAGTTGTGACTGACAGTGTTACCATAAGTAAAAATTTGTGTCTCAAACAAGTTTTTCGGATTCTAGTGCATATACCTATGCACAAAAAACAAAACCTCAATGGTTACACTTCAATTTTATACGAATTTTACTCTCTTTTTATTTTATTTTTTTTAAATATCCGCAGTTTGGTTTATCTATTTTAATCTAATTAGTAATATAAAATAAAACTTATATTTCAGAAAGAAAAATTAACCTTTATATTTTCCTAATAATTAACTTCGCCTCCATGAAATCTGGTAAAATATTTCACAAATATTACAAAATGGCGCCGCCCTAGCGGCAGAAAGTTGTGTATACCTTCATTGTAATAACTAGCAGCTAGTAAAACCCTCTGGCGACTTTTAAAACAAGAATTATTGGAGTAATCTCGATAACGTTTAATCACAATGTGAACATTTGGTTCCAATTATGCAATTGTTTTAGTTCATTCAATTACTAAAGTAAATGTATCACTATAATAAACTAGAGGATGCCACACTATCGACTTAATAATTACAAGCTCTAAGCATTACATACAACAAAATACACTTTCGAAGACCGATATTATCACAAGTTCCGGTGTATGTTGATATGAGTCTGTTCAAAATGTGACAGTATGAACCATATCATAAAATGCACCTTACGTAGAGTACATAAAACTCAAATCTGGTTGTTTCATTAATTGGAAGACTGTAAAATTGTTTTTATGGCGCAAAGTGGATACTGCTTATCAAAATAGTATATTTACATAATTACTTAACAAGCTATGTTCGAATGATAATTTTGGAAAAGGTAAAGTTTTGCTTATTGTACACTCATCCTGTTTTAAAGGCAGTGACAATGATTTTGAGATAAGAAATGAAATTGTTGAGATAGATCAAAAAAATCTTTGTAATATCAAGAATTAATTCAGTATGTCAAATTTTAAATGTATTATTTACCGTCTAAAACTGTAATAGAACATATATATTATGGATAATATGCTAAATTTTCTTTATTTATTAACTCGGTGTCAATTACAATAACAGTAGAAAAAGTTAAATGTAGTCGGGCTGGTTAACTGGGTAAGATTATTTATTTTAAGAGAAAACTTCTTTAGCTGCGTTGTACACTTTTTTTGTAATGGGTAAAAAATTTTAAGCTCGCGTCAGGAAACATGACCTGATCGAAAATTCGTAAGACAGATGGAGAGTGGACAGTCGGCGCGGCGTAGGAGAAGATAAACTTTTTAATGTAATATAAATTGTCATGTTTGTGCACGATAGCGCAATAAATAAATATTGTATTCTACCACATAAATGATAGTACTTTTATACTGATAATTAAAGCAATTCGTGCAAAATTATTCCCTAACCATTCCAAAATATCAAAAATGCACAACGTTAATATTCAAGTTTTCACTTCTGCCGGCATTCCCGGAGTGCAACCAGTCGTTTTTTTTTTACTACTACTACTTAATAGACCAGGGTCGAAGCCGTCAAAAATAATTAAAAACGAAAAAAAATTAAAGTAGGATGAAACCTATTGGAAAAGGAAGTACTTGGAAGAAGAAGAGGAGGGAATACCACTAAAATGAAAGGAAAAATAAATTACGGGCTATCTGAGGTTGGAAGGGGTAGGGGTGAGTTTTTAAGGGTTAAAAATCGGTAAATCTCGATTTCCGGCAAAACTAGAAGTCCTATCGTAAAAAGTTAAATGGCAAAGTTGTAGATAATAAAATGATCTACAACTTTTGTATCTATACTTTTTCTCCATAGCCTCAAAATTCATGTGAAAAATCCAAAAAACCACATTTTTGATTTTTTATTTTTATCTTTTACAAAAAAAAATTATTTTTTCATGATATTTGGTGAAAACTTACCTCTTTATGTCCCAAACACACTGGAATTTTGAAAATTTAAAATATTAATTTTTTCACCCTATTTTGACTCGATATCGAAAAAGCACCCTAATTTTCAATCGAAAATTCTCACGTCAAAATATCTGATTTTTCAAAAAAGTCGGTGGGCTTTTTGTTCGTTGAAATATCTATTTTCTGATGGTGTAAAAAAATATACATTATTATTGAAAAAATTTTTAGAAAATGCAAAAAAACGAAAAATACTAAAATTCGAAATTTTTTTTTAAATCTTTATGTACAATTTTGAGGTATTCATTAAATTTTTTACTTTAATTACTCGAAAAACGTTAGGTTAGTTAGATTAATAAACAAAAAATTGCAAGTCGAAATTAACTACTATAATTAACAACTAAATAAGTTACTAAAGTTAATATTTAATATGACATCTACAAAATTTTGAGAAATTTGTCGAATTTTCTTTAAATTATATGCGTAGATGCCTATTTATTGCTATTTTAAAATTATACCTATATACCTGAGTGACCTTCGGAAAATTGTAGCCCATTAAAAGGTATTTTATAGAGAAGTGGGGAAGGGGCTTGGAGGGTCTGGGCCTTACTACCTGTTATTTCGTAGCAGCTGTAAAAACCGTTAGCCAGTATTCGAGATACAGTGCAGTGAATAACATCGTTCATAAAAATACACGTGCAGGCTAAGTTACTTTACAAGAATTGTGATAATTCACTTTAAAAAAAAGTTCTGGAATCTACATAGCAAGGTAAATACTACCTGAATTTTAATCAGTACTCGCCTTTCGACACAAGTTTCTCCCAGTACTCGGAGACGTTTTCCTGAGAAATATTGGCACGGCCGGTGTACAGAGCATCACCAGTGCTGTCATTCGCATAGCAATGAACGTTACGGGTTTGCAACATATAACTGATATGCAGAAGAAACAGCTTTGTTTGGTATATCACGTAGCCTTTTGGAACGCTAGCATTAATAGGCTTATAATCGGAGCATGCACCGTCTACAATGACTTTGACGCCCCGATCTGCGAGAAATCTGGTGATCCAATTGCACAATTTCTCGGGAAGCCCATAAGAATTGAGCATCGAAAGAAGGGCTTTGTGCCAAACCCGATCGAAGGCCTTCACAATGTCCAAACTAACGGCCAATGCCTCCCCCTTGGACTCTACTGCCTCCGCCCATCGATTAGTCAGGTAGACCGGAAGATCACCAGCTGATTGACCCTGATGAAAACCGTATTTTCGGTCACTAATCAGCTGGTGATCTTCAAGGTACCGCATGAGCTGGCTGCCATGATTTTAGAGAACAAGGAGGTGATGGCGATAGGCCTATACCACAGGAGAAGGAATAAAAAGTTCCATACCTTGAATTACCACATCAGCGACAGAATCAGCAACAACGTTGGGATCGTCCAGCGAGAAACAAACACCCCCAAGGGTAGGATGCAAATAAAGACCGCATCCTATCCATCGGATGACCTACAGTGCCAAGCACGGCGGCAGCCTGCAGAATGCACCCGCGATCTCAGCATAAGTAGCAGCACACTCCAGACAAGGCAACGATCCGAGGAGCCAAGAAGGGCATCGACGGAGACCTGATATCTGTCCGGATGAGAGCTCAGCAGAAGGTCCAACAGGGAAGGCGCATGATATTCCACATCTGGAATTCGCGTAGGCGAAGCAACCAGTTGTGTCAGACCATATGCCAAGGCAAAATCATGAACAGATCTCTCCGCATGATTAGTTAAACGTGAACCAAGCCATTCGGCATGGTGAGCGTTAAAATCGCCGAGGATCACGTTCTCTGCAGAGGGGATATGCTGTAGCAACGAATCTATAGCCATTTGACGTGGTCGAAAAGTCGGTCTGTTTTGGCATTACCGCTATGGGACCTATAGAAACACCCGTAGACACGCGGATGGTCGTCGCTGTCTACGCGTAGCCAAAGGATGGAGAGGTCCGAACCTTCAAGACCGCCAAGGCGTCGAGAACAGTCCTATTGTCCTATCTGACGTATACGCAAAATCAAGCCCGAGTCACAAAGGGTTCCAGTTTGTACCCCGGGTAGGAGAAAAACGAAGGATCAGCTGGAGAAGACATCTGCGTCTCGGTGAGAAAGAGCAGAGCCAGCTTCGCCGTTTCGAGATGGTAGTGGACGGCGTTTATGTTCGAGTGAAGTCCCCTGATATTGCAGAAATTCACGGATATCGTGGCAAGAGTCGCCTTGGTCTTATTGTTAACACAACTTATAGTTAACAGTTATTGTATTAAGCAGAATTTTGCCCCTTCCCCTTCCCAGAATACGTGGGTCAGCCTGAGCACCCACGCTCAGGAGTGAAGTAGCTTAGTCGTGGATACTCAGCGAGGGATTCTCCAGGGTTGCTAGTACCCTGCAGGGTTCCTGAGGTAGTCTAACATTTAATTCCGCTACCATGTTGATGAAGGGAAAGGGGGAATTAAGCCTCCGGCCAACTGCGCTCACCAGACGAAACGCGGAAGCAAAGCTTCCACTTCAAGCCGGTATTCTGTGAGGTCGTGGTACCACCCTGGCTGGAGCCGGCCCATACGTGCAACAGCAAAAGCTGCCGCTTGGCTCTACCACTGTTAAAGCACCGTACAAAATACGGCAGCATTAAAAGCTGCTATTTTACGCTGGTATTCTGTGAGAGCGTTGTCCTTCCCCGGTTGAGCCGACCCATTCGTGCTACAACCATAATTGTGCAGTGGCGGATTAAGAATATCCACTACCACATATCATCCCCAGAGTGTCGTAAGAGGCGGCAGAGGTAATATGAAACAGGAGATAGGCATCAGCATCTTCCTGAAAATAAACCAAATTAATAAAAAAAACTGCGGTTGCCAAACCGCTTGCCACGCGCGGCTATTATGGCAAAATCAGATCAGACGACACAGCGCTGTTTGAGGAATTGACGGTATTATGAATGAATGATTTATTCGTCACACACAACACAATGTACAAAGCAATTAAAACAGTAAACAACGTATTGTTAATTTTTTTGTCTTGCTACAACACAAAAAAATTTTTACCCTTTTTTTTTTTTTTGTTTTTGTTTGTTTTTTACTTACCATATTAGTTCTGTCTTCGTTGCGGTTGCTTTGTTTCGTGTTCAATAAGTTAATTTTTTGTCTTGTAAAAAGCATCAGATTCAGCATGATGCTGTATTGCCATAACTGTAGTGTATTTATTTACTGTCGGTATCTCATATTTACCAAAAAGTTGAATAAATATTAAGAATAAAAATTTTATGGTTTACTTATTATTTTATATATTTTGATGTAGAAACATGGTAGTGCCCTGCTGCAACTATATTATAGTTTTAGTATGAGTCGATTCGACCGGGAAGGACCACCCTCTCAAAGAATACCACTGTAAAGTAGCAGCTTAATGCTGCTGTATTTCGTATAGTATAGGTGCAGAGAACCAGAGACCCTTTTTAGGAAACTAGCCACTTCATCTTCAGGGGTGTCAATGCACCTGCACTTTAATTCTTAATTGACGATAGATGTAGATTTCTATGGGCTACAGCATCCATGTACCATCAGATGGACTATGTGCTCGTTTTTCACGCTTATTCTACATAAAAAAGTTGAGATCTGCTCACCTGTTGCTGCCTGAGTTGAGTGAGCTGCTGCTCCAAGTCTAAATTCCGGGCGCGCAGGCGGCGAACTTCTTCCGTACCAGATGAAGACGCCTCCACCGTTTCTGTGTTAGGAAATGAGAGACTGATGAGATTAATTGATAGCCAAAAGTTCCTTCTTTCTATAATATAATTATACTTATATACGAGCACTTCAAATCATTTAACAATTTAGTTTAGAGTTGCTCGCGTACTAAGAAATTTACTTCGTTCGCTCATCCCATAAGTTACGGTTCAAATTTCTAAAAATTACTACAAGTTATGTATAATTACTATACGTTCACCTTTTGTGCCCCATAGTAAGCAGAATGATGGTAACATACTACCATCTGTACTTATCCACTTTAAAAAGCGTACTGAAAATGAATCAAAATAGCTTCTCACATCACAACTACAATCTAGCCCAATTAATTAATTATGAAACTGATTAACGCTTAAAATGTGTTATAAGGAAAACAAACTTGAAATATGCTCATTATTTGTTTTTACCGCGATCTATGGTTAATATATAATTGGATTTATGAAAAAAAAAATTAGTTGACACTCGGCACTCATGTAGATTAAATACCTGTTATGATCTGTTTAATAGAAACTCTTTTCTCTGTTTAATAGAAATTGTACGAGAATAACAAATAACATAGGTTCCTAATATAAACATGTGTTATCTATTTTATACCAGCGCTGGACCCTAGCTTCGCACGGATAATTTCCGGATCTCGACAACAATGCCAGCTACCAGGTACAATTAGTGAGTTTTTAAGCAATTCAGGGACCCACTTAAATACACACAAAAAATTCATCAATCGAGTTTTAACGAGACTAACCGGTCAGCGATTGATTTCTATATATATGAAGAAAGAAGAAGAAGATTTTTTAATAGGGTGTTTTTCACCACGTAAAATAAAATCAAAAATACATATTTATGATAGATTTTGTAAAAGGTAAAAGAGAAATATTGATTTCTGTTTATAAAATTGTATTATAAATTTTATATTTCAATTTTAAGAATTTTTTTTCATCAGTGCCTCAAATCTGCAAAACGCTGTTCGCCATATTAGAAACTGTCGTGACGTCACTGAAACTGACTCAGGGTTTTAGTCTTCTGTCACTGATTAAGGGAACTAGCTAAGGTGCTGTGTTATTTCGAAATTTTTCAAGTACATTACGATTATTGAGTTTTATTCCGAATTTTATTGAAAAGGCATCATGGAAGACGAATTCGTAAAAGCAGAAAGTACTATTCTACCAAGGATAAATAAATTGATGGTGGCAAAATTTTTTGCCTGCAATCCCAATTTTTGTTCTATTGAGTTGAGGAATGTTAAAACAGCAATGTAAGTACCTATTACCAACTTTTGTTTATACTAAAAAAATTCCAGGTGAGTGTATTTTGATAAAACATAGTTTAGTAGCTATCATAGTTTAATTTATCTATAATTATAATCATTAGTTATAATATCTAAGTTAACGTAATTTACCCTTCACCCCATGATGTTTTGTATTAAACGATAATAAAATATAAGTCATACTTACATCAAAAAGATCTTTACAGAAGAATTGTCTGGTTTTTGTAGACAATGTATTCGGGTATCTTCTTGCCAGTTTTAACCAAGTATTTCTTATATTTAAATACTTGGCACTTGAATCTATAACTTTCCCGGCGTTCTTATGCTCGTATTTTTGCATTCAGGCACAGCACAACAATGATTTAGGTGGTAACTCATTATTAAACATTAAAAAGTATCTTATTCCTTTGCAAAATCGGCAAAATCAAGGAGAATGACGTCACGAGTTGAACAGCATGGCGGCTAGCGTTCTTACACGAAAATTTAAAACGATAGATTAAAAGTAATTTTTATGGCACTATTCAGTTTAAAAAAAATTATAGGTCTCTAGGATTTATTTAAAACAATTTTTGAAAATGGGTGTGATACCCTATAATAAATATCTTCTCTAATTCAACCATTTAGTTGTGCTGCAAAAATATCCACTACCCTACATCGACCCCTGGGTGTCATAAGTAGGGATGATAATCGACGGCGAAAAAATCGATTATTTGGTAATAATATTTTCAATTTTGTCGATATCAATTATTCGATCAATCGCAATCATCATATTTGTTAATAGACTAATCAAAGAAAGTCAAGCATGACAACTGGAAAATATCCCACCTATAACAATCAATGGGCGGCCTGTGTTCTTCAATGGACTTTTGGTAGGCTGGAACAGTAATGGTGAAATATCCAGATCCAGCTACAGGCAACATAGTCAAAGGTAAGAAACACTGCTACTGCATTTGTCAATCCATTTTATAAGATTACTAGCGATCCGCCCAGGCTTCGCACGGGTGATTTCTGGATCTCGACAATAGCGCCACCTACTGGGTTTAAATGTAAACATAAACTATCATTGGTTTCAAAGTCTATAACAGACATAGGTAGAAGCATTTTTGCATTTATGCGTGAGTCTCAAGCTGTTGACTTTTATGTGCTGCTGATGATGAAAGTAGAAGGTACCATTGTATGTATCAGAGTGAAAGAATCACCTATTCACTTAACATTTTGATTACTTCATAACCATTAGAGGAGGTCTGTGCCACGCAGTGGGCCATATATTCATATATAAATATACTTTATTATTTCCTACTTATTGGAAATGGTCTGAGATTTCCTATTTATTTCTATTTATATTATTATCTAGCAGACCAGCAGTTGAAATAAGTGATATGAGCCTGGTACGAGTACCATAGTTTTTAATCTATAATGATTCTCTTTGTCTGTAATTGTTAAATTGGTTCATGGTTTGTGCTAATATTCTAACTTCTGATGACAGCTTCTTTAATATTTCAAACACTCTTTGGTTAAAAAAGTGCTTGAGTGGGTTATTATGTGATATGGCTTTAGTCAATTTGAGGAGATGCCTCATAAGAAGCATATTTATATATTAGAGAAGAAATAATACGCTGGGCTGGACCAGCCTTCTGTAGTTATGGAATCATTATAAAATAAATACGTAATACTATATAATAATGCCTAAAGGCTTAAATTTTATGTTATTTTATTATTTTTAATTAATAATTTATATCAGATTAGGATGTCTCTTACCACTAACAAGCAGCTGTAGACTCTGTATTTCAGACTTCTGATTCTCGCTGAGCGTCTGCAACTGCTGGAGCGCAGCTCGGAGCCCCGTCACCTCCGACTGCAGCTGCTCCCGTTCCACCACCATATTACGCATGTCCTCTGTAAATGTGCGTAATATTAAAGTTTACATTCTCCAGACAGAATTTTAGTAATGGTGTCTAGTCTCGTCTGGGGCCAGCCATCTGCGCAAACCTATTGCATTCATATAGCCTGGACAAGCACAGGTGTATTTTCTTATCACTGGCACTCATAATTTGGTCCAGGACTTTTAGCTTCCAGTGCTATCCGAGACACGGTAAAGCACTGTCGATAATTTCTAGATAGATAAACCCATTAGTTGTGTCTAGCTTTACCTGGGTCTACATAACCGCCAGCCGCGCTTATGGCCACTAGAGCAACGAGGCAGTCATACTTGTGTAGTAAGGCAAGTAAGATTCACAAAAGAAAATATTCATGATTCAACAATCGTTCAATATTTAACATAAACAGAAACTTTCTTATTCAATATAGTTTATAGTACCCGGTTGACCGAGCTTCGCTCGGTATTTTTCGCTCGTTTTTTTTTAATTCGTGTGTTTTGGAAACTATATTTAGATATAAATTACATACTGATAAAATACGAATAATATTTTTGATCTTAGCGACATAATAGAAAAAACTGAACTGGTTATTTGAATAAATTATCATGAGTGCAATTAGTTTAATTAAAATTTTCGTGTTTTTAAAAAATACTAAAAAAAGGGCTCGAAAAAATAGATTTTCTCAAAAAAAGAAAGGAACTTGAAAAAAAATTAAATAAAAGTTGGTGTATTACGATTTTGTGACCGCCCAATACACCGATTAAGCTATTTGCAATCATTAATAAACTGTCAAAATTTCCCTTCTTATTCTAATGATATTGTAGCAGTTTTTCATTGCCTAAAAACACGGACAAAAAGACATTTTCTAAAAATAAATCCTAGCTAGATCGATTTATAGCCCCCGAAACTCACTGCACACAAAAGCTTTGCTCGGTATTTTTCACTCGATTTTTTTTTTATTCGTGTGTTTTGGAAATTATATTTAGATGCAAATTACATACTGATGAAATATAAATAATATTTTTTGATCTTAGCGACATAACAAGAAAACGGAACTGGTTATTTGAATAAAAAAATCATGAGTGCAATTATTTTAATTTAAATTTTCGTGTTTTTAAAAAATACTAAAAAAAGGGCTCGAAAAAATAGATTTTCTCAAAAAAGAAAGGAACTTGAAAAAAAAATAAAAAAGTCGGTCGGTCGGTCTGGGCTCGAACCGGGGTTTTACGATTCTGTGACCGCCCATTATACCAATGCTATATATAATCATTAACAAATCCGTCAAAACTTCCCTTCTTATTCTAACGATATTGTAGCAGTTTTTCATTGCCTAAAAACACGGACAAAATTTCTAAAAATAAATCCTAGCTAGATCGATTTTTTATCCCCGTAACTCCCTGGACACTAAATTTTATGAAAATCGTTGGAGCCGTTTCCGAGATCCCGATTATATATATATATATACAAGAATTGCTCGTTTAATAGTATAGGATATAATACTTATTGAAAGTAACTTTGTTTTAATTTACCACTGTCTTGGGATGAACTAGTAAGAAACCTAGCGGGACTTTTTTTTTAAAAAAATGACAGCTTACAATCATGTATGTGCGACACTCAATAAGTTTTGAGATATACAAAAAGTATTATAGATACCATTAATGTTTATTTTACATCTTTTCAAAATATTCTCGATCACGCTCTATACAAAGTTCCATTCGCCTAAACCAACTCTGAAAACACCTTTGCCAGTCTTGATCTGACAGATCGGAAATCGCTTCTTCGTACGCAGCCACGGCTTCTTCGGCGCTTGAAAAAAACTTGCATTTTAATTTTTCTTTGACTCTCGGGAACAAAAAGAAATCACAAGGAGCTAAGTCAGGGCTGTAGAGTAGGTGACTTAGAGTTTCAGCACCAGATTCCTCAATAAATGCTTTTGTTCTAAACCGGGAGGTATGTGAAGAGGCGTTATCGTGATGCATTTTTTTTGCCGACGTTGCGAGGTCCCGTTTTCAAAACGTAGTTGCATTTCATGGCACCAATCCACACAAGTCTGTTTTTCGCTTTCGGACACCAAACGAGGGATCCATCGACAACAAAGCTTCCTCACTCCAAGATGTTAATATAGGATGGTATGAAAGCTCCCCAAACTAATGCCTACAATCATTTCAATGTCCGTATATGTGATTTGTGGGTCTTCTTGCACCAACATTTCAGTAGTCCATACATTTTCTGCCGTTACTGCTTGAAAAGGAACTCAGGTTCGGGCGTCCTCTCAATCGGCCGCGAAGGACCAATTGAAAAGGACCAGGTCGGTGTCCCTCTTGATCCTGAAAAGGACCAATTGAAAAGGACCTAGCGGATCGGGTACTAAGAAACAGGAATCGAGGCTTCTCTCGATCCGGCCTCCTATCACGCCTACGTTGGGTTCGGGAACAACGTATGTGATCTCCGCAACGGAGTAACACACTAGGGCGATAACCTCTTCCTTTTCAGCAAGTAGGTTCAGACGGGGATTACGGGTCTTCCGAAGTCGTCCCGGTCCCGACGCCTTAATTCTTCGATGTGGACTGTATAACTTAAAGGATCTTGGGAATGAAACAGCAATTATCTTCAAACCGTTCCGTGAGAGAGTAATCACTTTTCCCTATACTGCTGGTTTTTCACTTTTCTTGAACTTTTCCCGGATTTTCTTATTTATTTCCGAACTTCTTCCCCGAAGGATTCCCGAACGATTCCCGAACGATTTCCTTGAATATTTCCCGAACCATTCCCGAACGAATTGCAATAAAACCCGTTCACTAAGCTACCCCAGAGCTATACGCGAAAGTGAGCCGCGCCATTCGCGCGCTTGCGCAACTCAATTACATGAATTTGTTCTATTACTCTCTCACGTTTTACTCAATATCTTTATTTATTCAAATCATATACAAATACAATTTATCAATATAGGTAGTACAAAACAATATCTACACCATGATATACATCATATCCTCATATCATAAAAAACCTTTTATTTATTAAACGAAAACCGCCTATTTTACTCACAAGTTCGAAATCGAAATTTCTTAAATATTTAACACAGAAAGTTAAAACAATGTTTCTTACTTGAATTTATACATAAGCTAACCAATACAATAGTTTAATTTACATTTTTTTCTATTTATTTCACTATTTAAAACACTTTTAAATTTCTTATACAAAACTATCATTATTTCACTTATACACAGGAATTTTCACATGAAAATAACACAGAATTTACCTTTTTAGCACGTACAATTAACCTGAAATATTTTACAAGTAATTTTTACATAAATCACTGAATTACAAACATTTTAAATTTTTACATATTCGGCCTCCTAAGGGCGTGGCCTAGCGTGCGTCTATGAACTCACACTATTTGAACAACTAACTTTTGCACGGCTCTCGGCTATCAGAAAAAATTAAATTATGAAATACACCAATTTTGACCACATTAGGCAAATTAAATGCTTTTATACAATTTTCGAACTGTATGAAACTATCTTTAATCAGATAACAATATAAATGAATGTTCTCATTAATCAATCATAACAAATAGGCATTTGTTTTCGTACAAAACGTATCAAACTTATACAAAACAACATTTATGCAATTAATATCCATTAATTCTGCCTATGCACAGAGTGATTATCTCGACCGGGGAACAAATCCGATCTTTAACTTCACTTTAATATTCTTGAAAATTTACATAATTTGAAAGATGATTTCAACCGGGGAACAAATCCGGTAACATAATTTATATCTTAAATTCCTTACGAATTTATTAAGCGATATTACTTAGGAAAACAAACAAACTAGTCCGGCCTGGGAGTCGAACCCAAGACCTTCATATCATTAATACGACATTTCTTAAAGATTTAACTAAGCATTCTCTTATCAGAGCGTCGTTGCTCGTGACTGCCCCTTTTTTCATAGCAACGTCATCGGTTGATTTAATAAACTGAAACATTTTTATAGGCGCGTCGCCAACACTGCTGTTTGCGGGGCCCCGGTTCTTTGGTCATCTTTAAAGTTAATTTTGAATTCAGCAAACTACCTAATAATTGTTGCGCGTGATGGAGTCCCCCAATGCTGATTGTAACCGTTGTAAACTTAATTGTTCGGTTAAACCAAATTTAAAATCATAATAAATCATAGCGCGCAAATGTACACGGTTAAGATCCATCATTTTAAATGAAAAGCGCGTTGTTTACCGAATACTACCAATGCGCGAATGTTACCAAAGGTGATTGGTATGATTGGTTCTGGCCCTATAGTGGCCAGAGCAGATTCTCTTCTGTCCAGTTCGTTTTCTGTATCATTGCCCATGGATCCACTGTGTCCCTTTATCCATTGCAGTCACATTGTTGTGTTTACATACCTTATTTAGTCGCTGATGGCATTCATATATTAGTCCCGAGTTTACCACATTGCAACTAAGAGCCTGCAGTTCCGCCATGCTGACGGTCAGTATTTTTATGTAGGAGTCTTACATTCCTAGCCCCTATTGCTACCATCGCTTGGATGATACCAATACATTCTGCTTGAAAGACTGTATTGTGGGTACCCAGCAGTGTACATATGTGGATATTGAGGTCTTTCAAGAAAGTTCAAGATCCTGTAACTTCATTTGTTTTGGAACCATCCATGAAAATTCTGAGTTCTTTTAGGTTTATGCTCTGCAGCTGATTAGTTTCATTTAATTGTATCTTGTATTTCTTATCAAACACAAATTGTGTAGGGTAAGATAGAAATTTTGGAGTAAATTCTGTCTCTTCTGGGATACTCTACTCTTATTCAATAGATTTAGGGTCTTGAGTCTAATGGTAGCTAAAGTCGCTTCTTGTTGTATGTGTAGGTGATGCGGCTGCTGTTGGTGTAGTTCTTATGCCGTGGCAGCCATACAAGCCAGCCATAATCATGTATGTTACACAATTAACAACACAAAACAAGTTAGAAATAGCTTTTTAGCTTAATCACCTTTCCCAGGGGTTAATATAATCCATGAATTCCTTAATATTATAATAACCCTTTTTATACAAACTTAGAAACAACTAGAGAACTTAAACTTTATTAAAAGTTTTTAAACTTTGTGCAGGTCAAATTTTGTCAATTTTCTGGGATTTTGTTGTAAAACCATATACATCGCCCCAAGAATGAATTACTGACTCGGTGGAGTCGATACATATAAAATATTTTACCATTACCAACTAAATTTTTTATTTTATTAATTTTTACGGTTTTTCAAAATCTATTTTTATGATATTTTTTTATTTAAATAGATTCTAAAAATATCTGATCATTTCAATAAAAAAAAAACACCTGATGCTGGGAGGAGGTAAGGAGGCTAAAAAGAATCCCTAGAACCCTAGGCTAAAACCTCAGGGAGGGAGGGGCATAAGTGACCTAAAAACCTCATGTGATTAAAAGATGGCCCGGCTGATATGATTTCTTTTGTTTTTCTTTAATTTGAATGATTCTTTATTATAAAGTAAGCTTTCTTCATGGTTGTCCTAATTACATTTTTTTAGTATCCTTTATTTACAACAATCTGTCGCCTTTGACGGACATTCAGCAGTATGTTTGTTGGTGCTATCTCTGGCATGCTCGGTATGTGACCTGTGTCACATCCTCATTATTTTAAACAGTAACTGGGTTTACTGTGTTTGTATTAAATCTTGTGGTATCTTGCGCTTTAAGCGTCGCGCTTTGTTGTGGTTTGCCATGAGTGGCCGGGCCAGAATATTTGGATGACGTTCGATGCGCTCTTTATAAGTTCTAGTATGGCGTAGGATTTCCTGTTTCACAGTAGGCAGGTGTAGATCATGATGTAATAATTCGTTGGGCACATACCAGGGGGCATTGGTTATCATGCGGAGTGCTTTATTTTGAAACCTTTGTAAGATTTCGATGTTTGAATGGGATGCAGTACCCCACAGTTGGATTCCATACGTCCAGATAGGTTTCAGTATTGCCTTGTACAGAAGTATTTTGTTTTCTAGAGACAATTGAGGCTTTCGTCCTATGAGCCAGTAGTTTTCGCGTTTGAGTACCGAGTTGCTTTCTCTTAGTGAAAATATGTTTTTACCAGGTAAGTCTTTTGTCCAAGTACAATCCAAGGTATATCACATGATATGCCTGTGGAACTACATTGTTGTTAAGTGTAATGGGGGACACAAGCTCTTTTTTAGGGTGAACGTTACGCTGAGTGATTTGGTTTCATTTGTTTTATCCGCCACTTTTTGAGCCAGTGGGATATGTCATTTAGCCGTTTTTGAAGTATTTGTGAGGCTATTTTTGGGTCGCTATGAGTAGCCAGTATAGCGGTGTCGTCAGCAAAGGTTCCAGTGATTAATGATTCAGATGTCGGCAGGTCCGCAGTGAAAAATAAGTTGAGTATGGGACCCAGTACGCTGCCTTGTGGGACTCCTGCTTTTATAGGGCAGAGATCTGATAGAGCTTCCCCTTGTTGTACTATGAAATGGCGCTGCTGGAGAAATGATTTTAATATCCCGTAAAGGTGATCTGGTAGTGCATTTTTCAATTTAAATAACAATCCCTCATGCCCCACGCAGTCAAATCTAATTAAATTTGAAGAAAAATTCCACCTCTAAAATTTGTAAAATAGGGAATAAAGTGTATTTTATACCCTAAAAGTTGTAAAATAGGGAATAAAGTGTATTTTATACCTATGTTTCTTCGTTAAGTAACTATGTACAAGGTACACAACCTTAAGTTTGTGATATTATTTAGTCCACTCAAAAAAGTGAAATAAATTAAACTTTAAATAAAAACCAAAGGATTTCAATTCTTTGTAACAGCCCGCCTGTGACCTATGAAGCAGTAAAAGCCAAAAGGCTAACAGCATTAACATCAAAAGAAACCACTTAATTCTTTGTTAAACTGTCTAAGCTCTTAATTCTAAAGTTAAATAAATATTTTATTCTTTTTTGTTTTAGAAGTTTAATTTTTAACATTATAAAGGTATGTTAAAAAATCAAAATCTATGGTAAAATTTTAATTCTGATTTCTGAAAGGAATCTGGTAAAGAAAAATATGATTTTTTAAATTATTTTACTGTATTTGAAGTGCAGGCCAAGGGTAATAAATAACATAATCTCAAAGGTATATTAATTTTATCCAACTAAAACATGTGTATCATGTCTGCTTTCGATTTGTTATTATAAATAATCACCCTTCTTTTCTACTTTACCAAGGAAATTATTGAGTAATTCAAATATAGCTTTTTATGTACTTAACACTAGAAGTTTCATATGGTTTTTTTTAAATTATGGTAGTAAATATTGTTTAGTTTAATGTTATGTAAATAAATGATGAAGAAAACAACTATCCCTTCAACATTCTGTCAACCAATATTTGCCAACAGGCATTGTATGAACTCCCATTTGGACACCAAAATTGGCCGATTGCCTAGTATTCACGATTTCCAATTAAAGTAAAAAATTGATAGTTAATAGTGAATAAACCTTTGGACAACAAAGAATAAAGACAACAACGTAATGAAGTGTAAAGCTGACTTCACTACATATAAATGTCGATTGTTTAACCTGTTTTTCTTTTGCTGCATAAAAGGAGGGAGGTATTAAGATATGTGAGTTTCTGCAAATAAAAAAAATACCTTTTTATATAATGGATTAATTTCATAATCCTTACCCTTCAAGTACAAGAAATGTTCTTTTATGTGCTAGAACCACGCTGCAGCTTTATTATGGTTGTAGCATGAATGGGTCGGCTCAACCGGGGTGGGACTACTCTCTCACAGAATACCAGCAAAATACCATGTTTCATTTGGTGTGTGTAGAAAACCAGACTCTTTTGACTAGAAACAAGGCATTCCATCTTAGTTCTCAGGGGTGACAACTCATTTGCATTTTGATTCTTAATCGAGGATAAATGTACATGTTTATGGACCACAGCATCTACTTACCATCAGGTAAACTGTGTGCTCGTTTGCTACCCTTATTCTATAAAAGAAATAAGCCGGCAAAATACACCATTTTGATGAGATTAGTTATATTATAAAAGTAGAATTTAATATTTATAAAGTAGTATTAAATAGCTTCATTCGCAGTGTTTCGATATGTATAAGTTTTATATATAGCAGCCAGCTATTAACACTACTTACTAACAAAATTAATAAGATATAAATGTTTACATTAGCACCTGCCAGTATTGGGTGACCTTCCTTACAGGTCCGGACGGTTGAAAAATGGCCTGACGCTTGACAGGATAATATGTTCAAATATTTTACCACCATATTTATAATGTCAAAGGGAGTGTTCACTTTTCAACTAGAAAACTATTATCTTAATAAGACAGACTTCTATTAAGTAGCATCAAAAAAAACTACAAACCTTCTTTCTGTAAGAAAAGTTCTTTCATTTTCGCTCTTTGCACATTAAATTCTTCCTCAAGTTCTCGTCTCGCTGTCTCCGACAAGGGTGCTCCACCACTGCCTCCATCTTCAACTTGAAACAGAAATACTACTCAGCCGCCTGCACGCAAGATAAAGACGCACCGCAAAACATGGAAAAGGTGCAGGTGCAAAAAAAGAAGCACAAAAGCAGGAAAAAGAAGAAAACAAAGCGCAGAGTGCAATGCCATTCCAATAAAAATAAAAAGTTTTCTTCTTGCTTGTTGTTCTATATTCATCTGCAAACATTCTGCGCTGGTATCAAATCACAAGGTACAATAGTACAAAAACACACCTGTAACTGTTTCCTCGTCTGTCATTTTAGATTGCTCGTTCATTGCCACCCGTAAAGAAATATTTGTTAATAAATCTGTATTTTTTTAGTTTTCGACATTATTCTAAGACACACTGCACTGAGTCATGTGGAATCAAGTGTTGAATTAAGCGTACAGAACACTACCATTCCTAGCGGATTATATGATTATGATTTTAATTAAAAATTATAATAATATAGAGGTTTTCACGAAAATTGTTTGACATTGACGCTTTGACAGAGACTTACTAGGCTTGGATGAAAAATATTCATATATCGGAATATCGATATTTTTAACCACGATAAATTGATGTTCGATGATTATTTTAGAGTAACGAATTCAAATTCATTTCAATATATTTTTAAAAGTTAATCAACAAAACATAAACCAACAAAACCAGCCACAAAAGATATATATATATATATATATATATATATATATATGCTCTTGAAGTTTTCGCAAAACACGATGATATATCTGTATATGGTATGAGTTCAAAAACTCTCCACAACAGCGCTCGAGTAGCTACACGGAATGATAAATCGCCGTAAAATACGTTGAGAGTGATTTTGAATATAAACTTTGGAAGCAATAAAATAATTATTGTAAAAAGAAATATGGTGAGTCTGTGGAATAAAAAAGATTACAAAAAGTTCTTTAAAATTTAGAGACTGTAGCTACAGTGGCACTACCCTTATTAAGCGATGTCTTACGGACACTTTTTTATACAGAGTCTGTACTCCTTACCTCTACACTCCATAGTTAAAGTGTCTATAGAAAGCCGTTAAATAAGGGTGGCGCTACTATAGCTACGGGCTAAATTTTATAGAACGTGCCGAAAAATATTAGTGGGATAGACAAATTTTTCGAGGTTTTATTTACTAAATAAAATTATTTTAGATTTTAGAGCTACTCAGCAGTTTAGCAGCACACTTCAAACCGTCGACAACTGCTAATATCATTTCATCCCAGTAGCTACTCCAGCGCTGTTGTGGAGAGTTTTTGAACTGTTATTTACTGCTTACGGATGGCCACTTTTTCAACTATTTTACTATGGGAGTTGGTACTCCTTACTTCTACACATAGACAGAGAAACCTATAGACTAATGATTAGCGTGGCCTAGAGTGAGAAAGGACGATAACTCAAACTGTAGAAAGAGAAACCTATAGACTGACGATTAGCGTGGCCTCGAGTGAGAAAGGACGATAACGTAGTTTTAGGTTATACAATAATCTTTATGACTTTTAAACATATTTAGATAAAATTTTTAAGTGTTGTAAGAACTGAACTGAACAAGATTCACCAATCTTAAGCTCACAAAACAGTTTTTCTCTCACTTAAACCAACTTGTAAACTCCTTACATCGCTACGAACTGTCAAAGTTGTTTAGCAAAGTGTAGTTTGCTAAACCAAAAAAACCGGCACAGAGAAAGGGACAAACAATCACACTGCTTTGTCTCATTTCTATACAAGACGTATGCATAAATCTATCTTTTTCGTGTGCGAATGCGAAAAAAGGCGTCAATTTATCTATAGGTTTCTCTGTCTACGACTCAAACTGAGTGAGAGCTTCTACACTCTATACTCAGAACCGTAGACAAAAAAAACCTATAGACAAATTGACGCCTTCTTTCGCACACGAAAAAGATAGATTTATGCATACGTCTTGCATAGAAATGAGACAGAGCGTTGTGATTGTTTGTCCCTTTCTCCGTGCCGGTTTTTATGTTTAGCAAACTACACTTTGCTAAACAACTTTGACAGTTCGTAGCGATCTAAGGAGTTTACAAGTTCGTTTAAGTGAGAAAAAAGTGTTTTGTGAGCTTAAGATTGGTGAATCTTGTTCAGTTCAGTTTTTACAACAATTAAAAATTTTATCTAAATATGTTTAAAAGTCATAAAGATTATTATATAACCTAAAACTACGTTATTGTCCTTTCTCATTCAAGCCCACGCTAATCATTAGTCTAAAGGTTTCTCTGTCTACGCTCAGAACAATAACTATGGTCAACCGAATCTAAGAAATACATTTTGACAGCTGTCATACTTATTACACCAATCATGCCAACCAAAAAATGAAAACGTACAATATTCGATTCTTAAAAAAATTGATACCGATAATTTAAAGTTTGTAATCATTTACAGTTAGGTATGAATAATACCAAAATAAATTAAAAACGGTTAATTTAAAACAAGATTTATCAGTTTTTTCGTATTTGAGTTTCTTCGTAGCTGTTACTTCTTATTTTTAGAGGCAAAGTTATAAAAATTTAAGATTAAAACTAGATTTTTTTCCTTTTTCTTTTGTTTTTTCTACCACTTTTGCCCAATCATCTATTGTGACATGGGCAGATGCTTCGACGTGTAAATAATCCAAAAAGTTAAAGCCGAGTCACAAATTAAGAAGACCAACACAAAAACACAAAATTACGCATAGTAAGCTCCCGAAATGGCGGGAGATTGTAATTACATATTGGTTTTTTCAGTGCAGTTTTTATGCCTACATAAATTTACGTTGACAAAGTTAAAAAAAACTTGTTTTATTTATGATTCAAGTAATTTATGGAGTTTTTCAAATAAAAATTTAATTAAACGAATAATACATTAAAAAAAATTAATGATTAGATTATTTGAATATTTTTATCGATTATTTGAATATTTTTGCCGATTATTCACATAACAATGAATTTTAATCATCCAAACACTACGGTAAGGTACATAGCGACATATTGTTACGAGCCTGAGGTTCGTGACAATAAAGCCGTCGATTGAATTACCTACCAAAATTTACACTTTTATTACCGAACACCAATTAAAACTTAAAACACTAATAATTAACCACACTGATTCACTTTATTTCGCTCCGAAGCTTCTCTTATCTCGCCAAATTCAATACTGCCCCGACCCCGATCGCTGCATGCAGCAGGTTTAAATACACTTTTTACACCGAAACATCCAGAATATTCCCGTAGATACGGACGCCGACCGACCAGATACAGAAATTTCGAGTGTGGGGCTTCTAGAAACATTAATTCTTCTGTTCGATACTAGATGGCGCTGTTGGTCGAAAGTCAAGATTGACATTTGATAGGAAGCCCTTCTCGCTCTTTTCCCCGACACTAGATGGCGCTAGTGCCAGGTACCTGACGTCAACTTAGGCGCGCAACACTGCCCCCTCCTAAGACATGCTCGTCCCGAGCATTATCGGCCCCATAATAACGCGCCAGGCGATCCACATGGACGGAGTCCCTCTTGCGCCTTTCTGTATCCGGTAGGTTATATCGTTGATCCTGATCACAATCCGGTACGGGCCGCCCCATTTAGCTTGAAGCTTAAGAGATTTCCCTTTGCTGCGGACTGGATTGTGCAATCACACTAGTGAACCTTCGTCGAAACCTTTGTTGTTCATTTTGTGGTCATACTAGGTTTTCATCTTTTCTGACATTTGCTGGCCCGACTGTCTAACTTGCTCATAAATGTCATTCATTTTGTTCCGCAGGTTATTTGCATAATCGGTTATACTGCGTGGGGCATCAGGTGATCAGGTCTGCAGGCAGCCGTAATTCTCTTCCAAAGTTTGCGAAAGCTGGTGTCACTGCTGTACTTTCGTGAACAGCGCTTCGATATGACAACAAAAACGGTTGTATGTGATTGTCCCAATCTCGTTGCCGATTGTCTACAACTTTTGCTAGGTACCTCTACAATGTCTGATTAAATCGTTCTACCATTCCATCAGGTTTCGGGTGATAAGAAGTCGTTCTTGTTTTATGAGTACCCATAACTCGGCAAGTTTCCTGGAATATTTGAGATTCAAAATTCCTTCCTTGATCGCTGTGAATCTCTAAAGGTACTCCAAAACGACAGAAGACTTCATGAACTAGTTTATCTGCAACTGTTGAAGCTTCTTGATTTGGAATGGCGAAGACTTCTGGCCACTTAGTGAAGTAATCCATCACAATCATGAAATACTTGTTACCGCTTTCACTCTCCGGAAACGGCCCCGCCACGTCAATCGCTATTCTCTCCCATGGTGCACCAACATTATACAACTTCAATACACCTCTACTACGAGTCTTAGGTCCCTTTACAGCCGCACAACTTGTACATTTGCGACGCCAGTCCTCGACATCGTGTCGACAGTGGACCCAGTGAAACCGTTCTTGGATCTTTAGTAGAGTTCGTTTAACTCCCAGATGGCCTCCTGAACAATCATTATGGTACAGCTGTAGAACATCCGGTACTTTAGCTTTAAGGACAACCATTTGTAAATGTCAGCTGTCTCCCTGAACATTTTCCCATTTATGGGACAGAACTCCATCCTGAAGCAGCAAGCTGTCCCATTGGGCCCAATAGCTGTTAGAGGTCGAACTCATCGCTGAGACGTCGCTCCACATGGGCTTGGGAGCACTGGCCTTTATCCATTCCAGAATCGGCTTGATGTCCGGATCATCCTGCTGTGCATGTTGTAAGCTGTCCTTCCACTCGTTGCTGAGGTGGTCTGTCCTGAGAATCCTCACGGATACCACTTCCTTACTCTCCTGCCTAGTACAATGTTTGCAATCTTCAGGACAAGGTCTTCTTGACAATGCTTGCCATGAGATTTCCCGCTGCGATTTCTGATAGTAAAGTCGTATTCCTGCTGCTGCTGGGCGGTGATGTTAACCGCACTTCCCTTCTGAGATCGTTCACCTTCCCTTTCTAGGGTTCACTTAGGGCAGCTGAATCGAAGATGGCCCCTTTTCCCCACAGCCACAGACCAGAAATCGCTCCCGAGTGTCTTCACTACTGGGATCACCCATTTGGTTCCTAAAGACCAGGGTACCACAGACCCGAGCAAATACCGCCCCATCACGTGTCTACCGACCATATACAAGACACTAACATCCATTTTGAGCGCGAGAATCACTCGTCACCTGGACTCTAATCAGGTGATGTCGCGCGCACAAAATGGATGTCGGGGCGGTGGTCGTGGAACCAAGGAACCACTCCTCATTGACGCGGTTATTGGCAAAGTGGTGAAACG